GAGTCACAGCACATAAACACGAGTGGCTTTGCAGTGGAATCCAGTCCCCAGCTCCTGCCTCTGTCACTGTCAGCTTGGTTCTGGGGTCTCCCTGGCTAGCTGTGCCCTGTCTGAGTCCTGCCATCAGGCAACTTTGCCAAGAGCAGGAACTACAGGCAGCCTCAGGCTGTCCACTGACACCCCTCCTGTCCTGCCCTGTTGTGCAGAGTCGCAGCCCACTGAGGATTACTATGGTGTGCCAGAGGAAGAGGAGGAGGAAGAAGAAGAGGTGAGCATGGGCTGGGCAGGGAGGCAGGGGCTGCTGCAACCCACCCTGCTTTAGCACCTAGCCTAGCTGAGGTTAGGCGTGGCAGGCTGCTGTGCCTGCAGAAAGCAGGGGGTGGAGAATGAAGCCCTGGGTGCTTTCAGGACCTGCCTGGAGGTGGCAGAGGCAGGACCAGAGGGAGGCAAAGTCTTCCTTGAGCAGGCAGGCTGGGGGAGTTGCCTTGCGCTTCCCTTTTCTCCGGTCTGACCCCTGCCTCCTCCTTGCCTAGCCTGCCCAGCAGCTCCAGATGATGTTACCAAACCTGAGCATCACAGGTGAGCTGGGGTGGGAGTCTGCCCACAGGGGGAGCTACAGGTGCCTAGGGTGGTGGGGAGAGGGTGGACTGATCCCTGGGATGCAGATCTGAGAGCAGGCATTCACAGCGCTGTCCGTTCCTCCTCCTGCAGAAGCAGTGGGGCCTGCCCCTACGGTGACCCCCTACTCTTTACCCACGGGTATCACCGTGCCACCTGTGCTGCCAGGCCCACCTGCCTCGGACCCCAACCTCCTGGCCCCGCCACCTGGCAGTGCACCTGGCTTCCCTCAGGAGCTGCATCAGCTGCTGCCGGAGGTGCAGCCAGGGCCCCTGCCCAACAGCCTGCCACCTGCAGGTGAACAGTTTGTGCCTGATCTGCTCATCAGCCCTCACATGCTGCCCTGTAAGGCTCTGGGGAGGGATGGGGGCTGGAAGCTGGGGGAGGGATGAGACAGCTGGTCATGCCAGCCTCTGTGGATGGGGGTGGCAGAGCTGATTGGTGGGAACCCTGCCCCTGCAGTGACCGACCTGGAGATCAAGTTCCAGTATCGGGGGCAGCCGCCCCGTGCCCTCACCGTCAGCAACCCGCATGGCTGCCGGCTCTTCTATAGCCAGCTAGAGGCCACCCAGGAGCAGGTGGAGCTCTTTGGGCCCGTGAGCCTAGAGCAGGTGCGCTTCCCCAGTCCTGAGGACATCCCCAGCGACAAGCAGCGCTACTACACCAACCAGCTGCTGGACGTGCTGGACCGCGGACTCATCCTGCAGTTGCAGGGCCAGGACCTGTATGCCATCCGCCTGTGCCAGTGCAAGGTGTTCTGGAGTGGGCCCTGTGCCATGGCCCATGGCTCGCACCCTAACCCCATCCAGCGGGAGGTCCGTACCAAGCTCTTCAGCCTGGAGCACTTCCTCAATGGTGAGCAGGTGCCCTGCTGGTGGCCTCATCTGCTTTGTATGAGCACGGTTCTGCCTTCTAACCAGGACATCTTGCTCTCCACGCAGAGCTCATCCTGTTCCAGAAGGGCCAGACTGACGCCCCACCACCCTTTGAGATCTTCTTCTGTTTTGGGGAGGAGTGGCCTGACCGCAAGCCCAGAGAGAAGAAGCTCATTACTGTACAGGTACATTCCCGCCCCACCACCTCTGTCCTCTGGCCCCAGCAGGGCAGGGGAGGAAGCTGGTGTGGTGGTCAAGGGCGCTGGGGCTGGAGGAGGTGGGTGGTCCCTGTCTGAGGTGGCTGTCCTGGGTCCATTGTCAGCTCCTGCCATGCGTTTTCTCCCCAATGGCAGGTGGTGCCAGTGGCAGCTCGGTTGCTGCTGGAGATGTTCTCCGGTGAGCTCTCTTGGTCGGCAGATAGCATCCGACTGCAGATCTCCAACCCAGACCTCAAAGACTGCATGGTGGCACAGTTCAAGGAGCTCCACCGTCTTTGGCAGGCTCAGCAGCGGGCACAGCCTGTGGACCCGGCCCCTGCTGGGGCTTCTGGCCTGGCTACTGGCCCAGCTCCCTGGCCCATGCACCCAGTTGGCATGCAGTAACAAGGCCTGCTGCGTGACTGTGTGAACGGATGGGCAGAAGCTGGCCGCTGCAAGGGTCTTCCCCCTGGGTCTCCTGGAAGGGATTTGAGGAGACAGCCAGCTCTGGATCTTTCTGCAGGCTTTGCTCGGAGGGCTCTCAGGCCCGCATGTCCTGTGCTTGCACTTGCCTATCCAGCCACAGGCCAGCGAGGAGCGGCAGGGTGGGCCAGCCTTGAGGTATGGCCCCTTTTCTTCAAGTTTAAAGGAGTCAAGGAGTAATGAGGGCCAGGTTCATTCCTTTGCAGCACCCCCTCCCCACGGATTCGGGGGGGATTCCCTGGTCAGAACTGTCCTTCCTTGCTGCTCTCCCTCCCAGGATGGGTCTTGGCAATCAGACCACACAGGACACTCAGGGCTGGCAGTGGGCCTGCTTCTGGGGACTCCCAAGTGCAGGGGGTAGGAAGCTGCATTTTTATTTTTGGAATAAATGTGCAAAACAGACCTGCCTGCTTTCCTTTGGTTTTCCAGTGCCAGTCGCTCTTCTGCCAGATCTAGATGGTCCATCTTTTCTGTTCAAACTTTCATCTGCCTCATTATTTGGAAACAAATCTTAAACATATTTCATGTATAAATAGCATCTGTTGGTTTACTCCCCAAGTGAATGCAACAGCCGGAGCTGAGCTAATCCAAAGCCAGGAAGCAGGAGCTTCTTGTAGGTTTCCCATGCAGGTGCAGGGTCCTAAGGTGCTTTCCCAGGCCACAAGCAGGGAAGATGGGAAGTGGAGCAGCGAGGACATGAACCGGTGTCCACATGGGATGCTGATGTTGGCAAGGTGAGGCTTTAGCCACTGAGCCATCAAACCAGGTCTCAGGCCCTGTATGTTTCAACTGTGTTTCTCTATTACCCTTTTCTTGTTCCCAAAGTGTCTCAGATAGCCCTGGCCAGGAGCTCACCATGTTTTTGGACAGGCTCTGATGACTTGTTCCTGACGCTGTTGAGGCTCTGGAGCTGTGCTGGCCAGCTGCTTTCCCAAACATGCAGCAACCGTGTTTATCTGATGCTTCTTGTGCTAGACTTGGGAAGGCTCACCATCTCATGTCAGGGGCACACACTACCAACATGACCTCTGCTGTTGACCTCACTCCTGTTTATCAAAGAGCAGTTCTCCCCAGCTCCTGCTTTGCTTCTCTCTATTGTCCACTGATATGGCAGTTTCAGAATTGTTAACTTTTACCCCAACCCTAAACTGAGTAGATACAAGAGTACAGGACTTTTCACTCATCCACAAGGACCAGCACCTTTCCTCCCATCTGACCTTGGCAGTTTCTTCTTGACACAGAAATTAGTCATCTCTGCTCTCAGACTTGCTGTCGTAAGTAGAGGGCCAGGCTCTCAGAGAACTGACACATTCCCAGAGACAATGAGCTGCAGCTTTCCAGGGGGATGCTCTCCCTCCTCCGGTTCACTTCTTGACTGGTTTTATCCCCGAACACACTTGAATTTATAATCTGACTCAGATGAACTCCTGGAACTTTCTGAGCGCTCTTGGAGTTTCAATTGCCCCTGAAAAGCCTGGTTGGGTTTCTAGTTGCCTTCCGATGATTTCAAAATTTATGTATTTGAAAAGCAAAGTTACAGGAAGACAGACTGGCTTCCTATCTACTGTTCACTCCCCAGCTGGCCACAACAGAGCTGGGCAGGTTCGAAGCTAGCTTTGTCTGGATCTTCCGTGTGGGTGACAGGGACCCAAGCACCTGGGCCATCGTCTGCTACTTTTCCAGACGCAACAGCAGGGAGCTGGATGGGAAGCGGAGCAGCCAGGACTCAAACTGGTGCTAGCACTGGATGGCAGTTACCCACTTAATTTCTTAAAAAGGAACACAAAATTTCTGGCAGTCTTTTCCACAGAGGACCATCTAAGGGACAGACATAACAAATCCCTGGGATAGGGGCGTGTTGCAGTTCATGGCTCCATAACCAGGCTAAGCTTCCACTAGCAATGATATTCTTGTGCTGCAGACTTGTGCAGCTGTTAATCCACAGAACACTGAACCCATGGCCAGGGGGATGACACATGTTGCCAGCACCCAGTGGCTGGGGGGCTTTAGAGTCGCAAACCCCACCGTGCAGGGGTGCTAAGTGCCACTGCTAAGAGGCCGGGCCAGCCTGAGCCACCTCACAGCTCCGGCCAAAGAATGCAAGCACAAATGAAGAAACACGAATTTAATTTTAAAAATTTATTGTTATTTCCTTTTAGTCGTTGCTGTTGGTTTGTTCTCAAGAAGACTCCAACACCAGACAAAACAGTGTCTGTGTATCTGAGGGCACGGGGCTCTATTTGGGGCTCCCTCTTCAGTCAAACCCCACCCCAAGAAGGTAATCCATTGCCACACAATTTTGAATATAGCTAGCCCTGTAAACACTTTTTTATCTCCACACTCCCACCCTCATCTTTTTTCTATCTCATGTCTGTGGGTGAATAATTCACTGAGGGGTAAAAAAAATCCTTAAAAACAAAATCCTAAAGATGTGAACACACATTATACCCTGCCCCTCCCTGCGTGACCTATTCCCTCTGCAAGAGTGGGGACAACCTCGTGTGGCCTGGAGGTGGAGTCACCAACACAAATGCTGATGCTGCAGGCCCCGAGTGTCCCTGACATGACCATGATCTAAAGCAGGACAGGTTCCTTGTCTGGAAAACTCTAAAGGTAAGACGCAACAGCTGGAACAAGGGCTGAGGGGCAGAGAAAGAACAAAACGAGAGACAGCCCTAAGAGATGACCCTGATTTCATTCACTGGCTCCCACGTCTGCCCTAGGCGGATGTGCTGCAGATGGCGTGTGCTCTGCCTGTGTGTGCACGTGCATGGCATGTGTCTGTGTGTGCATGCCTGTGTCACTTGCTTCCAGGCCAATGTTTCAGTTCAGTTTTCCTTTTTTTTTTTTTTTTTATTTTCTTAAAATCATTTCTCCTTTAGAGACAAGTTCACTAGGAAACCAGCTCCCCTCCCACCTTGCTGGACAGGTTGCAGCCATCTCTTTATAAACCGTGCTGATTTTCCCTCGCAACCCCTCACAGGACCTCCTCGGGGTGGCTCGGCAGGCTCGAGTCGCTCCCAGTCCGGCGAAGGTCCCTCTGCCACGATGGAGGGTTCTGATTGTGGGACACAGTCTGGTTTTTGTTTTCTTCCTGTCTTCTAATAAAAAAGACATTCCTGAAAAAGAGGAAGCCCATCAACAGGCACGCTCCAGACCACAGCGGCCTCCTCCTACCGCCAGCTCCAGCAGCAGTTCTAGCCCTCACCTCCCAATGCGGCAGTGTGCAGTTATCAGGGTGTGGGGTAAGATTTCCTTCTGAAGGATTTTTTTTTTTTTTTTAATTTACACGAAAGGGAGAGACTGAGAATCTTTCATTACTGGTTCACTCCCCAACTGGCCTCCGTGGTTGGAGCTGAGTCAGGCGGATCTCCCAGCAGGAGGCAGCGCCCCAGACACTAGGGGTTCCTTTCCCAGAGTCATGAGCAGGGAGCTGGACTGAGAGAGGAACAGGCAGGACTTGAACCCGCACTCCAGTATGTTTGGGATGCTGAGATTACAGCCAGTGGGTTTAATCTGCTGCACCACTATATTAGTCCCAAAATTTTATTGTGTAAGATGTGCCTCCTTAGAAAAGTGTGAGACTGAAGAGCACTGCAGGCCCAAGAGCAAGGACGCCGGCACCAGGTCCCCACGCCAGGCAGACTGTCAGCCAGAGCCTAGATGCGTGTGATAATTAAGCCTGAGAACCGTATGAGGATTATCTCTGTTAACACATGACAACTAGTAACACTTCCACGTTAGCTGCGAGCAGCCGCGAGCATCCACTGCTGTCCCTCAGCGCAAGGAAGTATATCATTGGCCACTCCGGACCCTGCCAGAGCTCAAGATCTGAAACCTTACTCCTTCAAGAAGTGACCTGTGCTGGGGCAGGACACTGTGAAGCATCACTGCCACCAACTAACAGAAACCACCAGCGAGCATACAGACTCGGGGAGAACAAATCTCACTGGTAACTCCCAGGCTGGACTAAGAACGGGGCCTTTCTTCCACAGAGAATCTGGCACCCTAATCCCGACAGCTGGCTGTTCTTTGCTCAGCTCAGCTTCCTGCTTTGCTTCAGTCAGGAGAGGAGCGACACTGGGCACTGGCTAAGGGGGCGGCTCCTTCCCTGCACCCCCTGCCCGGGCTCAGCCTCTGACACGACAATGACAGGAATTCAGTCCTTGCTCATTCAATCTGGGTCAGTTTTAGGGCAGCAGTGTCTTCACCACAGTGGCCAGGTGAAAACACTGCTCACCACCAGGCACATTACCTATCCTAGAATGCCTGTACAGGAAGAGAAACGGAATTCTTGACATCCTGTAACAGTCACTTTCTATTTTCTGAAAGATCCATTTGTTTTTTATTGAAAAGGCAGACTGCAAAGGCAAAGGCAAGACACAGAGCCTCTGTCCACTGGCTTGTTCTCCAAGTGGCTGCAAGGCCAGAGCTGAGCCGATCTGAAGTCTGGAGCCAGAATCTTCTTGGGTCTCCCACATGGGTGCAGGGGAAAGACTTGGGCCATCCTTGACTGCCCTCTCAGTCCACCAGCAGGGAGCCAGATGGGAAGTGGAGCAGCCAAGACACGAAGTGGTGCCCACATGGGATGCCTGTGTTTGCAGGTGGGGACAATCCTATTGAGCACTAGCCCCCAGCAGCTACTTTCTCGTGGAAGCGAAAGTGGTCATTATCTGGCTGCCTTGGCCCAAAAGAAGCAAGTCTTGGCAATTGCCTGCCACACAGCACAGCTAAATTGTTAAGTCCTTCTCTGATCCCAACTACAGGACTGGTCCCACTGGGTGCCCCCCACTCCTTACCTGGATGGCAGGCACAGTGCAGCACAGTGAGCTATCGAAACAGGCGAGTGAAATCTCGTAAGGCCCAGCAAACTTGCTTACACTCCTCAGCACTGGAAAGAAAAGGCAGGTTAGAACGCAGACCAGACAATGGGAGAAGCAAGGACCACACTGGGTATACTGGGTACTATCCCATCTGTGCTAACAGCCCCTCTCCATCACTTCTCAACTGCTTCAAGATCTTCTCTGTAACCTGTGAGAAAGAAGGAACCATCACAAACGAGAGTGAGGGGGAGCTCGCTGAACTTCCAAGGTCTGAGTGCTACCCTCCCTGGGCAAGGTGACCAATCTCTGATGCAGTTTCCTCACTTGTTAGCTGCCTAATGATGTTTTTTAGTACTAGATTCTTCACAAATAAGGACAGTGAACAAAATACAATCCAACTAGTGTAGGCTGCTGCAGCAGTGATGACAGCAGCCCCCAGTTAAAGCCTTCTTGGCTTGGGTGAACTCTGTGCTGAGCGCACAGAGGCGTGCTGCTTTCCTCATTCTCCTCCAAAGGTGCATTTTGTTTACAAAGCCCAGTCTAGTGACTAAATCTCTATCAGCCGTTGATTTTCTAGTTGAACAAGCTGCCCAGGGTTTCCTCTTGTGGGAGGAAGGGAGAGAAGAAAGGGTTAAAGCAAGCAGAAAAGGAGGCGGGGGTGGGGACGGGGGGTGGGGAGAGGAAGCAGGCCTTGGTCCTCAGGCAAATGTCCCTGTGGTAAGACAGCTGGGTGACTGTTGAGTCACTGAGCCCGTTGTTTCCAGAGGCCCCTTGGCCCTAACCTGGTCCCCACGCAGCTGCCGTGCGCCAGCTGCGTTCTCCTGTGTCGGCCTCCACAGCCATGACTGCTCAAGCTCGGGGGCGGGGGGAGTGCTAGTGAATGCACTCGCCCCTTGGGACTCTTCCAGGCCCACAGCCAGTGTTAGAAGACAAGTCATCTTCCACTTCACGGCAAAGGAGGGAACTGCTAAGATTCAACCTAAACGAAAATGCAATGCAAGCTACTGCTGTAATATGCCCATATCTGGATTCCCTACCAAAAGAAACTTGATTTAGACCTCAAGACTTGATTCTACAGAAGATTCTGGAAGCTTTCTTCCAGTCTCTATCTTAAAAAAGTAGTGAAAATGAAGATCGTCCGGTTTTACTGGGATTCTGCCACTTCCTCTCTGTGGATTTAACAAGCTTTACTATAAGCACTCTATTCTTTGGTCCATTTCCAGACGTATACTGGCTGTTAAGGAAGCAGTCATATTGCTAATGTCAGGAAGCAGGGAGGGAAACCAAAACAAGCCAATGTGTAGGAAGGTGTCTAGTGACAAAGAAAAAGGAAACCCTGAATCTTACTTCTGGCATTTAATTTATTATTTCTAGGTTATCATTTCATTCGTTTATCTCAGCTGTCATTTTCCAGTTCCCAGTCCCCAAATTCTAACTGTTCCATCATACTTGCTAATACCTCTAAGGTCATTATTTCTCAAGTCCCATAAACCTATCCCAAGGGTGTGCTGAGAAACACAGCTGCTTTGCTCTAACGTCCTGCCAGTTAACACAGAATGGTAGTTGGCCGAGGGCTTGACCAGACATCCCCCACAGGCCTCTAATTTCAAGGTCAGCGCTTTTGGTGTTCAACATATTTTGGTTAAAAGATCCACACAATAAACGCCAACATAGACAAACGGCAGTGTTTCTTGGGGTTCTAATGAATCATTTGGTGTTTGGGAAGCAAGAATGATATTTTAGAATGAGAAGCCCCAGCTTTGTTCAAGTTGACCAACTTAGCAGGGAATTAATTACCACTACCATGAGAAACGCAGGCTGGGACTTGCGGAGATGAGACTGAACCAGTTCCCCTCCCTGCAAGAATGGCAAACAAGGCAGCTTGTCGAGGCAGGAGTTATAGGATCTTAAGACCAACAGGGAGACAGAGTCATGCTCAGATTCAAGGACACCACACATACTCCAGCAAGAGCTTTGATGGAGAGGTGAGATCTCCAGGCATTTCTCTAGCACCTAAACACGACCTCTTCCATTCACCTCTCACCATTCTATGTCACAGCCCCAAACTACAGGGGAGCTGCCAAACTTGTTCCGCAATCAGTTCCAGTAGGCCAGGCTGGTAGTACACTGTATGTTCCCACATCACGGGAAAAAGATGATATATTTTTGTTCACAGCATTTTAAGATTTAGATTCCTTTTTCTTGCCCCAACATTTCTCTTGTGTTAGGTCATGATGCCGATGACCTTGATTTTGGACACACTCTATTGTTCTTTTACCTGTAATTTTTTAGCCTCACTGGGGGAATATGGGCTTGGTTAAGACTTATTCCAGAATGTGTGGGTGGCTGCCTTCGAATTGGCAGGAGACATGCCCCAGCTAGTTTTTCAAGTACATAATGACAATCTGACAGTTTCTTTTCTAAGAAGAAAGGATTTAAAATTCACTATTCACCTACTATGTGCAAGATCATCCTTAGATTTCCACTTCGCATCTCTTAGTATACTTGTGAAAGAGTATCAAGCCTATCTTATAAATAAACTCAAGTTCAAAGCAGAAGGGTAAGCACGGGAGGACTGTCGTTGACACCTGTGGCTTGCGAGGGTTTTTGCCAGCATCATGTTCGAGTTTAGGAAATCAAATTCACAACGCTCCAGCCTGACCAACACAGAGCAGAGAGCAGCAACGGGGGGATTCTCTCCCGTGAGCCAGTCTGCAGGCAGGATGCTACTCCTGGGGAAGAGCCACAGCCAGAGGGAACCACGCGATTCTGTGAGGTGATCCGAATCAACAGAGGCCGTTCTACTTCACGGGAAATCCCTCTGCAGACCACATGTGTCATGAACTGGTCACATGCTATTTTTTGATCATGCATGTCACTTGATCTTTGGCTCTGTCAGTTTTACTGCTGGTGCATGAAGTTAAGCCACTCAGTAAACTGTGACAGAAAAGCACTCCATGGTTTGGGGTTTTAACGTTAACAATTGTTGGAGATATTTCAAGGGATTAAAAAGCAAACCATTTTGGAAAGTGACATTTACAAATCAAAAAAAGATAAACTTCTAAAACACTGCTAAAAATTGTATAACATATGTGACAAACTGTTTTCCACGGTATAATGTTTAGTAGATTTATCCATTTTCCAGTCCTCTATTCTCTTTTACAGCAGAATAATATCCCATTATGCAGATATGTCATACCTTGTTAATACAAGTTGTTGGACATTTCAAAGAAAAAAAATAAATAAAACTATAACATGAATATAAATATAAATAAAAACCAAAAAATTTAAATAATGAGGCAAAAGACCTGTACACTAATAACTACAGAACACTGCTGATAAAAATGAAAGGTCAATGAAAGCTACGCTGTGCTCACAGAGTGAAAAACCATCCTACTAAGAGGCCAGTAACCCTAAAGCAGCCTACACACAGAATACAATTCCTGACCAATATTCCAGCAACATTCTTCTGGGGAGCAGAAATAGAAATATGTCTTAAAATTCATATGGAAAAAGAATCAAAGTAGAGGTTCCACACTTCTCAATTTCAACACATACTACAAAGCCACTGCCTGTACCTTATTGACATAAAGTCAGCCGTAAGATCAAAGGAACTCAGAGAGCAGAAATAACCCAAGGCTTATGATCAAACGATATCTGACAAGACTGCCAGCACTGTTCAATAGGCAAAGTCTTTGATAAACGGTACCAGGAAAACTGGATAACCATATGTAAAAGAAACTGGGTCCTTAATCTATCATCATATACAAAAACTGCATCAAAGACCTAAAACCAACAAACAACAAAAAATGCATGAAACTTCATGACATTGATTTTGGCAATAATTTCCTACATATAACAACAACAACAACAACAAAAAAGCATAAATAACAAAAGTAAAAATACTACGCTACATAAAAATTTAAAACTTCAGGGCCCAGCATGGTAGCTTAATGGGTAAGTCCTCTACTTGAATGTGCCAGGATCACATTTGGTCACAGTTCATGCACTGGCTGCTCCACTTCCCATCCAGCTTCCTGCTTGGGGCCTGGGACAGCAGTGGAGGACGGCACTAGACCTTGGGACCCTGCACTTCATGTGAGAAACTTGGAAGACGCTCTTAGCTTCTTGCTGCAGATTGGCTCAGCACTAACCACTGAGGCCGGTTGGGGAGTGAGTCAGTGGAGACATCTTTCTCTCTATCTCCTCTTGGTAAATCTGACTTACCAATAAAAATAAATCATAATTTTTTTTTTTTTAAACTTTTGTGACTTTGGACTGGTGCAGTGGCCTTCCTTGCCTTGAATGCACCGGGGGTCTCATATGGGTGCCGGTTCTAATCCTGGATGCTCCACTTCCCATCCAGCTTCCTGCTTGAGGCCTGGGAGAGCAACCAAGGACAGCCCAAAGCCTTGGGACCCTGCACCCACATAGAAGACCTGGAAGAGGCTCCAGGCTCCTGGCTTCGGATTGGCTCAGTTCTGGCCGTTGCGGCCACTTAGGGAGTGAATCAGCAGATGGAAGATCTTCCTCTCTCTGTATATCTGACTTTCAAATAAAAATTTAAAAAAATCTTTTTTAAAAAAAAGGTGAATCTCAACTATGTAAAAATCATCAAAAATAAAAGTAATAATTTAAAAAAATGTGATTCTAAAATTTTATGCACTGGGCTGGTGTATTGGCTCAACTGACTAATCCTCTACCTCCACGTGCCACATTTCATATGGGCACCAGTTCATGTCCTGGCCACTCCACTTGCCATCCAGCTCCCTGATTGTGGCCTGGGAGAGCAACCAGGGACAGCCTATACCTTGGGACCCTGTAGAAGATTCTGCTCAGCTCTGGCTGTTATGGCCATTTGGGAGTGAATCAGGATGGAAGATCTTACTCTCCTTCTCTGTGTAAATCTGAATTTCCGGTAAAAATGTCTTCAAACAAACAAATAAACGTCATAAAAAAATTTGTGTGCAAAAATTGTTCATTCTATATGAAAGGTACCTAATAGGGACAGTAGGGTATGCTAAGAGAACATTCTGTCCACTAGCTTATTTCTTCAATTCCCCCTTACAATCTAACAGTTAATCCGGAGATGAATCCAAATAAATTTTCGTGTGGTCTATAAAGCTTCCCTGAAATGACGATTTCAGATCTTTAGGCAGGGAGTTTACTCAATCCAACGCACTCAAGCCTATATCACTACTGTTTTTATAACCACTACTTTCCTGCATATTTAGGCCTTTGCACTGCTTTTTCTTTTCTTTTGTTTAAAGGGAGAGAGGAGGAGAAAGAAATCTTCCATCCACTAGTTCACTCCCCAAGGAGGTGGGGCAGGGGGGAAGCCAGGAGCCAAGGGTGGGAGCAAAGGAACCCAGTTTTCCAAGCCACCGACAGTTGCCCTCCCAGGTGTCTCTACAGGGACCGGGACAATAAGTGAAGCAGCAAGGAACGTAACAGCACCCTGGCATGAAGTACCAGTGTCTTATAGTACACCGTGCTGCGCCATATGCCTGCCCGTTCCTGTTTTCTTTGTTTGCTTGTTAAATGAACGTTTGTTTATTTAAAAAGCAGAGTTGGAGACAGAGATCTCGTATCAGGTAGATGATGTACAGGACTTAAGTGATGTACAGATAAGGGCACTTCATAAAGTTCATGGAAAAATTTAATTAAAAGAAGCTTGCTTTGGTGCAAAAATATCAAAATCTAAGCATAACTTTTCATACCACGAATTCCAAGATTTTTCTAAAGACCCAGGAATATACAGTGTGCTGAATTTTTTGCCCTTACACTGACTTCCAATACCAATTTGTGCAATTCTATGTTAAGCAGACACTAAATTATGAAGTTTTAAAAATATATAAGGGCCCAGCACATTAGCCTAGCAGCTAAAATCCTCGCCTTGAATGCACCGGGATCCCATATGGCCACTAGTTCTAATCTCAATGGCCCTGCTTCTCATTCAGCTCCCTGCTTGTGGCCTGGAAAGGCAGCTAAGGATGGTCTAAGGCCCTGGGACCTTGCACTCGCATGGGAGACCCAAAAGAGGTACTGGGCTCCTGGCAGTCACTTGGGGAGTAAATCATTGGATGGAAGATCTCCCTCTCCCTCTGTATATCTGATTTTGCAATAAAAAATAAATGAATCTTAAAACAACAACAACAACAAAAAAAAAACAAAAACCTGAGACAAAGCCATTTACGGATGCATCACTGCTGCTGCTAACATCCCCTTCAACAACTGCTGGCCACTCACCTAGTAACTTGCTTGTGGAAGTCTGTAAGCTGCTTGTGTGTCACCGTGACAGCTCCTACAGTTGTCTCCTTTGGCAAACCTTTCAAGGAATTCTCTAACCATCGACAAAAAGTCTGTTTAGGGAAAAAGAGCAAGAGTTTTATTATTATTATTATTATTATTATTATTATTATTATTTAGATTTATTTACTTTCATTGGAAATTCAGATTTGCAGAGAAAAGAAGAAACATAAAAAGATCTTCCATCTGCAGGTTCACTCTCCAAGTGGCTGCAATGGCCAGAGCTGAGCCAATCCGAAGCTAGTAGCTTCTTCTGGGTCTCCAATGTGGGTGCAGGGTTCCATGGCTTTGGTCCATCCTCCCTACAGGCAGGGAACTGGATGGGAAGTTGAACAAAACAGGACACAAACTGGTGCCCATATGGGATCCCAGCACTTGAAGGAGGAAGATTAGCCAATAGAGTCATTGCACTGGTGTCACTAATAAATTTTTGAAAATATTTTATTTATTTGAAATATGGAATTACAGAGACAGAGAGGGAGAGATACAGAAAGAGATTTTCCATCAGCTGGTTCACCTTACAAATGGCTGCAATTAGCCCAGGCCAAGCTAAGCCAGGAGTCAGACCCTCCATCAGAATCACACGTAGAGGCAGGGGTCCAAGTGCTCAGGTTGCTCTCTGCTCCTCTCCCAGGCGCATTAGCAGGAAGTTGGATCAGAAGTGGAGCAGCAGGCCTAGCATGGTAGCCTACTGGCTAAAGTCCTCGTCTTGCATGCGCGGGGATCTCACATGGTTAACAGTTCTAATCCTGGCTTCCCATCCAGTTCCCTGTGTGCGGGCTGGTATAGTACAGGACGGCCCACGGCCTTGGACCCTGCATCCTCATGGGAGACCCAGAAGAAGCTCCTGGCTTTAGTCTCACACACATGGACATGAGAGCAGGTTATTCCTCTGGGACACCTGCCTGCTCTTTAGAACAGTAGCACGATATTAACATAATTTATTTCTAGCTGTGCTCTTTATCCCTTTCATGTGCTAATCAAAATGATCTGTCTCTACTCCCCTTTAAACTAAAAATCCAAATTCTAATGGTTTCTTCTAGGTTATTTTGAGTTTAACTGTTGTACTTTGAGTCCGTTCTAATTTTTCTTCACTCATACCTTCTTACTTCTGTAAGACGGAGAAACCGAGAGAGGTATCTTCCATCCACTAGTTCACTTCTTCAATGCATCTGGGGCTGCAGCAGCCTCAAATCATGAGCCAGAAACCATGTTTGGGTTTCCTCGGGTGGTGGCTGGAACACTTGTACTGGAGGCAACTGTGGTTTCCTTTGTCCACCAGCAGAGGACAGCCACTCCAAAATGGGATGCAGGCACCCCAAGTGACAGATAAAACCAAATGTACCATGTTGGGCCCAGTGCCATGGCCCAGCGGCTAGAGTCCTCGCCTTGAATGCCGCCGGGATCCCATATGGGTGCCGGTTCTAATCCTGGATGCTCCACTTCCCATTCAGCTCCCTGCTTCTTGTATCCTGGGGAAGCAGTCAAGGACGGCCCAAATCCTTGGGACCCTGCACCCACACGGGAGACCTGGAAGAGGTTCCTGGTTCCTGGCTTTGGATCGGCGCAGTGCCGGCTATTACGCTCACTTGGGGAGTGAATCATCAGACGGAAGATCTTCCTCTCTGTCTCTCTGTATATCTGACTTTGCAATAATAATAATAAATATTTTAAAAAGGTACCATGTTGCCTGCCTCCTTCACTGTTTTTTTTTTGGACTTATTTATTTTTATTGGAAAGTCAGATATACAGAGAAAAGGATAGACAGAGAGGAAAATCCTCTGTCCACTGGTTCACATCACAGCTGCTGCAGTGGTCAGTGCTGAGCCGATCTGAGGCAGGAGCCAGGAGCTTCTTCTGGGTCTTCCATGCGGGTGCAGGGTCCCAAGGTTTGACCATCTTTGACTGCTTTCCCAGGCCAGAGGCAGGAAGCTGGATGGACTGCAGGGCCGTTGGGATTAGAACCAGCGCCCACATGGGATCCTGGCGCGTACAAGGCAAGAAATTAGCCTTTAGGCTACCACACCAGGTCCTTTCACTCTTTCCTTAAGTGTGATGTATATTTTGGTCATAGTTTCAACCATAATTTTACTTTCTTATAGCCAGTTTTTACTTTTTCAATTAACATGTATCTATCATGCTCAATCATGATCACAACAGGACAGAGTGAGCATTACTTTCAAAGGATACAAAATCAAGAAAAAGCAACCAGGGGTAAAAGCCTCGAGACAGAGCTCTAATGGAGAGTGTTTTGAAATCTAAAAATGACCCATGTGTAAACTGCAACCTCTCCTGTAACAAAAACACGATTTAAATTCAAATGCAGTAAAAAGGGGCCCGCACTGCATCACAAGCAGCTGCGCAGCCCCCGTGACACTGTCACCCCATGGCCGGCCACCAGTTGCCGCCCCTTTAGATCTAGCTCTCGGTTATGACCTGGGAAAGCAGCAGATGAGCCTGAGTGCTGCAGCCACTGGGTCATTCCAATAAGTCAGGAGTCAGGAGCCAGGAACACGGGAGGCAAAGGCTCCAGCACTTGGGACATCTTCTGCAGCCTCACCAGGTGCGTTAGTAGCAGCAGAACTTGGATATGGAATGCCAGCAGCACAGGTGGGGCTTCAGCTGCTTTGGGGCACTTACCCAGTAAGTTCTTACACGCACATGGCTTCTTGAGTGCTGCTGCTGTTCAAATTTGTTGCTCTCATTTCCTTTCACTTAGCTACATATTTGTAAATCAAGAATTTGCTTATAAATTTATATAACAAGTCTTCATGGAGATTTAATTTCTCAAGCCAAGGCTTTTGGAATTAAAGCCAAACGTTCGTCCTTCAGGGCTTAAAGAATACTCTTAATGAAAAGGCAGAGTACTACTGCATTAGACTGGAATGGCACATGCATAATCCACAACTAGCAAGAACGGAAGGTCCCACTCAGCATGTATTATTACCCTTTGGTGGTCTGGAAGGCAGCTCACTTTAGGTTCATTCGTATAATTTCGTAAACTGCTTTTATATTAATAGTTAAAATAATAAATCCTATTTTAATAACTCACAGGTATAGCATACCTTACTACTATACTTAACACCTATTAAATAATATATAACTTAGTTAAACTCTACAACATTGACACAAGCACACTTTCAAAAACTCAGTAAGAAATGACTGGCTTCCTATGGGCCTCTTCATCCACCATTTAATAAACAGCAATATACCTAAGATTGGTTCCATGGACGTAAAGCAGGGCTGGTTTCAAGTGAGGGCTGGTGAGGGCAGCATCCCACATTGGAGTACCAGTTCCAGTCCTGGCTTCTCTGCTTCTGATTCAGCCTCTGGCTAATGCGCTTGGGAACGCAGTAGAAAATGAACCAAGCCCGTGGGCCAGGCCATCCATGTGGGACACATGGATGGAATTCTTGATCCTGGCTTTGGCCAGCCCCAGCCCTGATTGTTACAGTCATTTGATGAATGTATGAGGGGATGTAAGATCTTTCCTCCTCTCTCACTCTGTCCGTAAATATATAAAAATATCTTGAAAGATAAAGTCAGAGTTGGCTTCAAGGAATCAATGCTCATTTATTATGGGATAAGCACAGAGTCCTTGCAAATCCACCTTACCGGCCTGTCGACCTGCATGATCTCCCAGAGCACTTCAGCCACGTCTGGCAGGGTGTAGGGGGGCAGACAGAAGCAGCATGTGTGCAGCAGCTGGCTGACAAGCTGCTGGCCAAGCTGGTTCATCACTTGTGCAATCAGTTCTTTCCGTAATTCAAAGTCTTCTTCATGCTGCAAGAGAGCACAAACCCAAAGGACATGTGGTCCCAGTCTCAACTTTCCAAGGACCAAGTACCCTATTAGCCTCATGGCTTCCCTCATGAAGAAAAGTTAAGTGTGTCATAAATGAATCCATAAAGTCAATTTACTCATCATCTGAAAGAAAACATTAGGAATTTGGTATCAAGAAAACTGGCATTTACAAAGATTAAACATAACACTTAATATTTTTAAGATTACAAGGCAGAGACAATGGTTAAGTATTAATATCAGCAATTCTCTTAATTTTTTCCTGTTAAAATATTGTGCTACTTCCTTTTATAAAACCAACGGAAATGAGAATTGAAGATTTCTATTAAAAAATCCTGATTTTTTTCCCCTTTTTTGTTACTGCCTTTACGTACATACACATATACCTAATTAGCTTCAGAAAAATCTTTTAAAAATTATCTTTCTGGGTTGGCATTGTGCAGTGGATGATAACGTTAGGATCCAACATAGGAGTGCCAGTTTGAGTCCTGGCAGCCATACTTTCCGTCTAGCTCCCCAAAAGCAGTGGATGATTGGCCCCCCTTTCCACTCACACAGGAAACCAGAATGGAGTTATGAGTTCCTGGCTTTGACCTTGCCCAGCCCTGGCCACTGTAGCTATTTAGGTAGTAAATCAGTAGGTATAAGACACATACTGCCACCATCACTCTATCTTTCACATAGATTTTTTTAAAAGCCTTATTATTTTACTTGAAAGTCATCAGAGTTCCAGAAAGAGGGAGAGACTGAGATTTTCCATCGGCTGTTTCATTCCCCAAGTGGTCAGAACAACAAGACCTGGGATGGTCCAAAGCTAGGAGCCAGGAGCTTCCTTTGGTCTCCCATGTGGATGGCAGGGTTGAAGTGCTCAAGTAGTCTTCCACTGCTTTCCTGGACCACTAGGAGGAAGCTGAACTGGAAGCAGAGCAGCAGGACTCAAACTAGCTCCTCTACGGAAGGATGCCACTGCAGGTATTGTCTTAATGTGCCACAGCACAGCACTGGCTGCCATACTGAGCTTCTTCGTAAGGCTTGACGCCCTTGTTTGCTATATTCTCCCAAAATGCACTAATGCTGCCTCTACTTGAGGGCTCCACTGAGCTCCCTTCACTTCCAGTTATCCCAACCCCTTTCTGTTGACAGCCTTCTCTTCTCTGAACTCAGAGCAACCATAATTATACCATTCATTTGACAACTAGATACTGTCTTCTTGTTGTTAGTTAAGCATTTATATTTGTTTATCTCTTTAACAAGATTTTAAACGGTCTTGGAGTAGGTATAGTTTTGTACAACTTGTAGCACCCAACATTTTAGATCTAATATTGCTATTTTGTTAGTGAATGATCCATTATGGTAAATACGCACTAAATTAGGAAATATTAAGGCACTAGTTTTCTCCTAAAGAGTTAGGACGATATGAACAGTGAATCTGAAAGGTGCAATGTGTACACTTACATCATTGGCTACCCCTGTGTGGATGAGGTCTCGCAGGAATCGCATGACACTACAATTGGCATCTCGGTGGTCTAGCGTAGTAGAGGCAATAGCCCACTGTAAGATAGGGATGACTACTTGGCTCCTCAGTAAAGTGACAGGGCTACGCTGAATAAACCTGGTGTGAAAAAAGAAGCTTGGTATAAAAACAGCTGGGACAAAGACACATGGCTGCCAGGGTGGCAGAGAGGGATGAAGAGACACAGCTCAGGGGATGCTCTGGGCAGATGATCACTAAACGGTGGGCACCGAATATTTATCAGCAACGCTCCCTAATGTCACTGCAATCTTAGAGCAACCTGTCAGCGTGGCGCTGCCTAACCACTGCCACCCCTCGTGCTGCGGGGTGTTGACAGCAGGGGAGTTGCTGTGTGTGGGGAAGAGGAACAAGCAGCACATACAAGCTATACTTTCCAAGTAGTTTTGTTGTGAACCTGCATTTTGATATAACAAAACATCAGGAAAAACCAGGGACTATATCTTAGATCAGCAAATGAAAAGATATGTGTCCAAACACAACTTGTAATGATGATCTTATAAGTCAAGCCAGGTAGTTTCAAGAAAGATCAGTCAAGGCAGCTAATAACTAGAAATTCTCATGGGTTAAAAAGTCCTGAAAGTGTTACAGCAGCATTCCCCCAGCACACACCTTCAAACACCAATTTCTAGGACACCAACAGTATTACCTAAAAACAAAACAAAACCCAAACCAAAAGCTGTGTGTTGAAATAAGATTTATGAAATTATAGATTTTACTGTTACAATTTTTGTTTTATTGGGAAAACATAGGCACTACTCCATATAACAATGATATTCACAAATTGAAGCTTGTTCTGTACTATGGGAATGTGTGTCATATGTAACTGACATCTAAATTAAACAATGATGTGTGATTGAGGCGCATAAAACGCACCCAGAACTTATGGTAATAAACACTTGCGGAAGCAAACGCTACACAGTGGCTCCCCAGCACGGACCCAACATTGTCAGAAGATCCTACACTCCCATTTCTAAAATTCAGTCTGTAAAGTCTAAATATATAACCATTACGCTTTGTAACAAAACTAGCAACAAGGGACTTAACTCTATTGGTTACAGAGTTGCCTTAAAGGAAGCTAAACATTGCACAGCACAAACTGATTAGTTAATAAACCAAATTTTGAGGAGTGAACCAGCACATTGATTCTTTGTGTCTCAAGGAAAATAGCAAGTGAATTTGTTTTCAATTTTTTTTAAAGATTTATTTATTTTTATTGGAAAGGCAGATATTCAGAGAAGAGGAGAGACAGGAAGGTCTTCTGTCCAATGTCCCTAAGTGACTGCAACAGCTGGAGCTGAGCCAATTCGAACCCAGGAGCCTGGAGCTTCCTCTGGGTCCTCCACACCGGTGCAGGGTCCCAAAGCTTTGGGCCGTCCTCGATTGCTTTCTCAGGCCACAAGCAGGGAGCTGGATGGAAAGCGGGGCTGCCGGGATTAGAACTGGTGCCCATATGGGATCCCAGTGCATTCAAGGCGAGGACTTTAACCACTATGCTATCACACTGGGCCTTCTTTTGTATTTTTTAACTGGTATAGTGCTTGTAGAATCCTTTAATGTAAGAAAAAGAATATTTCCTGGTCCAGCAAGATGGCTCAGCAGCTAAATCCTTGCCTTGCATGTACGGAGATCCCATATAGGTGCTGATTCATGCCACAGCTGCTCCACTTTCCCTCCAGCTCTCTGCTTGTGGCCTGGGAAAGCAGTTGAGGATGGGCTAAAGCCTTTGGACCCTGCACCTGCAGGGGAGAACCGGAACAAGCTCCTGGCTCTTGGCTCTGGATTGGCTGAGCTCTGGCTGTTGCGGACACTTGAACCAGTAGCTGTAAAAGCTTTGTCTTTCCTCTCTGTAAATCTGCCTTTTCAGTTGAAAAAAAAAAATCTCCCAAACTTATCATTTGTGTGAAGAGCAGCTCTAAGGATTAGTTTTGCAAGGAACACATTTCAGAGAAGCAAGCTGACAGTCCTGTCAGTGACTAACTGAAAGCAAGCAATGTTTCCTGGGCTGGCCGTCTGCTGCTTGCCTATATATCACAAGGATGCCAGCATGAAGTGTGCACTTCAAATTCCAGCTGCTCTGCATCTCTGGGGCAACAAATGATGGCTAATGGGTTTGGGCCTGCCACTCATATAAAAGAACCAGCAGAGACTGCAGGCTCCTGGTTTCAGGCTGGTCTACCCTCCCTGTTGCTAGTGAGTCCTCTTCTTGTCTCTCTGCCCTTCAAATAAAATAACATTTTAAGGGCCCGGCGCCATGGCCTAGCGGCTAAAATCCTCGCCCTGAATGTGCCGCCGGGATCCCATATGGGCATTGGTTCTAATCCTGGCTGCTCCACTTCCCATCCATCTCCCTGCTTCTTGTGGCCTGGGGAAGCAGTCGAGGATGGCCCAAAGCATTGGGACCCTGCACCCACACGGGAGACCTGGAGGAGGTTCCTGGTTCTTGGCTTCGGATTGGCGCAGCACTGGCCGTTGCGGCCGCTTGGGGAGTGAATCATCGAACAGAAGATCTTCCTCTCTGTCTCTCCTCTTCTATCTCACTTTCCAATAAAAATAAATCTTAAAAGAAAAAAATAACATTTTAAAAAGGCTTTTCTAAACTGTTCCAAAGCTAACATCAACAAACCACAAAATTTCAATATTTAATCTTAAAAATGAAGCAGTCAACACTGCTTTATAGTAATAAGCAATTCAGTGCTTCTTTTTATATAAAAAAAGCAGTGATTTGATTCTAACACTTTAGCTGAGAACTAAGAAGAAATTCGGGGTCCAGTGCAGTAGCCTACTAGGTAAAGTCCTCCTTGCAAGAGACAGGATCCCATATGGGTACCAATTTGTGTTTTGGCTGCTTCACCTCCCCTGCAACACCATGCTTACTGGCCTGGGAAAGCAACAGAGAATGACCCAAAGTCTGGGGACCCTGCACCCACGTGGGAAACCTGCAAGAAGTTCCTCACACCTGGTTTCAGATCAGCTCAGCTCCGTCATCGCGGACACTTTGGGAGTGAACCAGCAGATGGAAGATATTCCTCTCTATCTCTCTCCAATCTGTAAATCTGATTTGCCTTTCCAATAAAAATAAATAAATCATAAAAAAAGAGGTATGTTCTTCAGCATGCCCTACCTGGTGGCCAGTCGGAACAGGTCATCCACAGTGTCCGGGTGATTCTGCAGGCCGTTCTGTTGCTCTAGGAGCTGAAACGTGGGGATGCACAGTGCCTGAAACAGAATCGAGATTCTAAAATAAATGCTCACACAAAAACACAACAGCACTCAGACTTGCCACCAAACACAACACAGAACGCAGAAGGTAATCACACAAGGGAAAACAAAGGTCCTAAGAGAATCAGATCGAGAAGACCGGGCTGACACAGCGGAACAGTAAGCTGAGCCTCAGCCTGTGGCTCTGGCATGGGCACCTGGCTGCCCCACCTCCAATCCAGCTCCCTGCTGAGGTGCCTGCGAAAGCAACAAAGGATGAGCTTTGGGCCCCTGCATTCATGTAAGAGACCCCAAAGAAACTCCTGGCTACTGCTCTCAGATCAGTTCTGCTCCAACCATAATGGCCATTTGGGCAATGAACCACCAGATGGAAGATTCTTTCTCTTTCCTTTCCATGACTCTGCCTTTCAAATATACATATAAATCTTTAAAATAGGTAAGGACAAATAACAGACTGAAATCTTTTCTAGTTAACGAGCAGCATTTTCACATATTAATTCCATTACTTCTAAATCAGAAAGAGCTAAAGGTATGGGTTTCAGCTGAGGTACTATTTCAAAGCTTTACAAATTTCTTTTTTTTTTTTAGATTTATTTTTTATTTTTTTATTGGAAAGGCGGATATACAGAGAGGAGAGACAGAGAGGAAGATCTTCTGTCCGATGATTCACTCCCCAAGTGAGCGCAATGGCCAATGCTACGCCGATCCGAAGCCAGGAGCCTCCTCCAGGTCTCCCACGCGGGTGCAGGGTCCCAAGGCTTTGGGCCGTCCTCGACTGCTTTCCCGGGCCACAGGCAGGGAGCTGGATGGGAAGCGGGGCTACCAGGATTAGAACCGGTGCCCATATGGGATCCCAGGTGTGCAAGGCGAGGACCTTAACCACTGAGCCACTGCGCCGGGCCCACAAATTTCTAAAAGCAAAGAGTGTTCATGGACTAACCCATTAAAGAATCAGATAGAGGTTTCTTAGTAAAACCATCCGTCTTAACAGAAAAGGAGCAGCACTTTCACTCCTCAATATATCTGCAACACCACAGTCCCTCTCCCCACCATGCCCCCAAATTCTCTGCCTAGAAGGGAGAAAAAAACAGTATATTAGAAGCCTCTTCCACTGCCAATTACTAACCCTCAAACTCTATGTGCTGCTAAATAAACTAGTTCACTGGCTATTCCAAGCAAGACACTAAAAATAAAATAAAATCATGTTTGATCTTAGTGCTATTTTAAATCCCTTTTCCCACTCACCCTTTCCCTCAACACCCATCTCTGAAGCACAAATTCCAGCAGTAAGTATGTAATGATTATATTAATGCAAATACTGTCTTTTTCTCTCATTCTCCCCAAGCATGAATTTCCTGTCCAGAGGAAACTCAGAAAGTTTCTACCTTTGTTATCAAGCAATCACCAAGGGTGGATGGTGACGAGCACGGTCAGGACTTGGGGTCCTCCAAGCCCGATTCATGGATCCTGCCGGATGAAATCCTACCTGGAGCATGTCCAGGAGTCCCTGGCGACAGCCTTCCTCCATGCCATACTCATCCACAAGGATACTGCCAAGGTATAAGAAACAGGAATGCTGATGTACATGGTACACACTCACCATCTATGGAGGCAAAACCACAAACAATGAGTTCAATTCCTCACGCTTCATCAAGCATCAGTTCACAAGGTGGAAGTTTGGCTTAGCAGAACACGTGGGCTTGATAGCCAGACCCGCTCTTTGCCTCACCTCCCTATGTTCTGTGCCCTAGCGTCTTCACTTCCTTCACTCTAGTCTTGTCTCTGCTATGAGGTTAGTACCAGCAAATACCTTAATGTCCTAAGCATAGGACTCCCACGCTGAACACATAATCTGAAAGCACTCCAACAGTGAGTATGTCATCATAATTACAGATGAAATTTAGAGATAAAAAGGCTAAGATTATTCTTTAATAAGTAAGAGTTTTAAGCTCATGTAAACAATTCTAGTTAAAATATAATAAAATTCCTTGAGGGGCTAGTGCTGTGGCACAGCTGTTGAAGCCCATGCTTGCAACCACCAGCATCACCTGCCAGTGTGAGTCCTCTGGTTACTCTGTTTCCGATCCAGCTCCCTGTAATGCTTCTGGGATAGCAGCCGGGGTGAGCCTGAGTTCACAGGCTCCTGTCACCTACATGGGAAGCCCAATGGAGTTCCTGGCTCCTGGCATCGCCCTGGCCCAACTATCGCTACTGCGGCCATGTGGAGAGTTAACCAGAAGATACAAGGTCATGTTCTTTGTCTGTCCCTCTCTCATTTTAACTTTCAAATAATTAAATTTTTAAATAGAGAAAGCAAAGTCTGATTTGCCATTTTCCCCATGAAAATTAATACAAAGATGTTTACCTTTGCCAATTACTGAGTTACCCATAAGCCATTCCGCTCACATATAACATCACACTGGAATGTGTAGCTATTTAAACTACCATCACTTAGAAGTATCGGCTGTTTCCCCTGTGCACCACAGGTGTACAGACAAAAGGGACTGCTCTCTTTCAAATATTGTTTACTTTATTTTATTTAATAAATGAAAAGCATTTCATATTATCAGCAACGTTTTTGTTTCAGTGGTTCTTACTTGAAACTCTGTACAACGTAACCTTGTGCTTCACGGGGAACTCACCTGGGTGACAAGTGGCTGCAGCAGGGCTGCAGATCCTTTGCCTACACAGCGAACTGCAAAGCGCAGGCATCTGCAACAACGTTCTACAATCCGATTATCGGCCCGGTGTTTATTTAGAGTCTCAGACAAAACCGGCCATATCTGAGTCAAAAAATGCAAGAAAAAACAATCAATGGAATGGCCTTGAGTTGGTAACACCTGGTTTGGATTTTTAAAAATACCAAAGCCTTTAAAAGAAGTCACACCCTGCCTGCTGCTGACTGGTATGTGCGCCTGAGCATGTACATAGGGTCCTAACACTGTCTCTCACTGAAACTCAACCACTTCTTAGGGAAAACACAGCAAGCATTTTGTAACAGGAAGGACATATTTTTAACTGTTAACAGATGCCACTCTCCTACAGCTGACTTCATGAATAAGGATAAAAAGAGTACATTCTTAGGGCAGATAGTTTCAGGAATGGGGAAAGACACCGAACTAAGGAAGGGAATGGTATCACCTGGCTGAGCCCTGGTGGATACTTAGTATGGCTGTGATTTTCTGATGTGAAAAGCACATCTCAAAACCCAATTCCTGATCGACATTACCCCCTGCGAATGCGGTCAGTGGCAGCACTGAAGTCACAAGCTTTGCTACAAACAGTTTGCTATTGCTGATCGGGCCTGCCAGAAAGTCTAGAAGGCACATGCTAATCCTTTTCTGCTTCTTTATTGAGCTTCAGGATATTGCCCAGCACCTTGTTTTGTTATCGCATCTAAAGTTTTAAATATTTAGACCATTCTGTACCTCATGTCAGTGAAACCACAATCATACGATGGGAGAGAGTACTTTCTCAAATAAGCTATACAAATCCTTGTAAGAGGAAACCAAGAAGGCCACGATTCCACAGTATTCACCAGCACTTACTTCTTGTATGACCTTCTGGCATGGATGAGTCTGTCCATTTTCCACAATAGGATTAGTGTGTCTGGGAAAAGACAAAACCACAAATAGTAAACGAATGTTTGCACTGAAGGCCCAGGCTCCAAACTGTGTTTTTATAGAATCATTCTTGCCAAATAATGAAAACCAGAATGCAAAGCCCTTTTCTTACCTAAACACCTTCTTCTACTCCACTCAAACACAAGCACATACTATAACTCATGATTTCAGTTTTTGCCACTGCCACTAGAATATGTGAATTTGAAGTAACTTCATAGGAATGGGAAGCCCATGGGGGCACTACAACTATCCCATTTCCCCATAATCTGAATGCATAGCTTATCTGAATCTACTATGAAGAACCAAGGATTGTTCTATTGCTACCATTAGAAGTTGAAGACTTCGGCCAGCACTGTGACACAGTGGGTAAAGCACTGCCTGCAGCACAGGCATCCCCCATCACCAGTTGGAAACCCAGCTGTTTCCCTTGTGATCCAGCTCCCTGCTAATGTGCCTGGGAAAGCAGCAGAAGACGGCCCAAGTGCTTGGGCCCCTGCACCAGTGTGGAAGGTGCAAAAGAAACTCTGGCCTCTTGGCTTCAGTGTCACCCCACCCTGGCTTCTGCCACTATTTGGGGAATGTACCAGAGGCTAGACACCTCCCCCCCAAAACTCTACCTTTCAAACAAATTAGAAACCTCAGGAAACACAGTCCATCTATGGTGTTCCTCATGGATTCAGTCTGAGCCCCACTGACACCACAATGAATCCATCCACAATGTCAGCCCAACTTCTCCGACCACACACTAATTTAAAGAAAGGCACAGGAGTTGTGGAAGAGTATAATTAATTACCAGCCTCTCTTAAGGAAAGCTACTTTCTAACTTTAAAAAACTGAAAAACAACAGAATAAATATCCAGTTTACTGAGCCTGGAACAAAACAATGACTTAATTGGCTAGTTCTCCCCTTTCAGGCACCGATTCATATCCTGCTGCTCCAATCTACATCCAGCTCCCTGCTTGTGGCTTGGGAAAGCAACACAGGAATGGCTCAAAGGCTTGGGACTCTGCACCCATGCATGAGATACAGAAGTTTCTGGCTCCAGGCTTTAGATCGACTCAGCTCTAGCCATTGTAGCCACTTGGGGAGTGAACCAGCAGATGGAAGATTTTTCCTTGCCTCCCCTTCCTATAAATTCGACTTTCCAGTAAAAATAAATACATATATATCTTTTTAAAAAGTAAAATTTTCTTAGTTCAGTGACTAAGCACTCATCTTGCATGCACCAGTATAGCATGAGTGCAGGTTAGTTTCTGGCTGCATCACCTCCCATCTAGCTCACTGGTGATGGCCTGGGGAAAGCGTGGAGGATTGTTCAAAGCCTTGGCGCCCTGTACCTGCATGAGAGACCTGGAAGCAGCTCCAGGCACCTGGCTTCAGACTGGCCCAGCTCTTGGTTCACTTAGGGATGAACCAGTGGACAGAAGATCTTTCTGTCTCTCCTTGTTTTCTGTAAATATGCCTTCCCAATAAAAATAAATCAATCTTTAGAAAAATTAAATTTTCTTTATTATGGACATCCAGTGCAGATTTCCTCCTTATTGTGAAATAGTGTCAGTGTTAACAAGCCCTCCTCATGGCACATATTAAGGCTCTCCCAATCATAGAAATAAAGAAAGCACTGTACCAACTCAGAGATAGCATAATCATTAATAAGCACAAACAATACACAGACTTCCTCTAACCATCAGCCTGAAATTCCAGTTACACCTACAGGTCTCACAAATTGTAAGCTACCTAACTGAAGAAACATGCTTCAAACACAGACACTCACAATGCCCAACCATTAAAGAGCCCCCATTGCTTTCTTGTATCCATACTCTACCCAGCACTGATTTTGAAATTGTGGTTTCTGTAACAATGAGCAGCATCATAATCTTTCCTTGGGATCTTACGAGATAACACTCAGTGTTACGATGAGCGCTAAAGGTGATTCCAAAGCATGAGCAAGTTTGAGAATCATTCAACTGCACTCCACAAGAATCAACTATATTTTAAAAGACCTTCTTAATAAAGACTTGGCAAGAATGGTTTCTCAGAATTCATCTTTGCCTCTAAATTCCATGTAACAAGCTTAGTCTCTTGTCAAGACCACAGGTGGTACTTGGAAGAACTTGTATACTTGACTACATGTTTTCATTTGAGCCTTTAACCACAGTAGGGCATCCAGAGTCATCTTCTTACCTGAATATCACTGCCAGGCGATCCAAGAACACCGACGGGTCTGAGGACATGCCATTGCTGGGCTCCTGGGACAACAGCTAAGTGGACAAACACAAGAGTGTCACATGACATTCATCCAAACACGAGCTCTGCTTCAACCTCAGCCCGTTTGTTCATCAAATAGTGTAAATCTAATGCCTGCTTTCCTCCATCTCACTGAATGCAGGGCCACAACTGCCACTACTCCTGTTTACTGATCACCGCAAAGAGGAGAACAGTAACATCTGATTTTTTTTTTACTATTTACTTTAATCGCAATTATTATACATTATATTTAAAATGCAGACTGTATATAATACTTTATATTTAATACATAATAAATAATGTTTATATTTATTTAGCTTTATATTATTTCTGGGAAGTTGTCTTTTTTTTTTCTTTAATATTCCTTAGCAATTTCTACCAGTACGTATCTAAATACAAATTTAGAATCTTGTCATGTTTGAACAAATCTCATTGGTATGTCTACAATTATTACATGACAAATGTAACTGGAGAAAATAGTCTTAAAATAGCCTTCATGGAACCACTGGAATGGTCTTTTCCCATTATATTTTCTCACTGTTCATTATCGATATAATAAGACCCTATTGGGTTTGAAATGGTAATTGCTTATTATAACAACTTTGATAGACTTACATCCAGGTCATTCTTATGGGCTTTTAAAGTAGATAAAATATTATCTATAAATAAGATACTTTGAGACATTTTCCTTTCTTGCATGTATCCATCTTTTGTCTCATGTTGTATTTAATCGGACTCACCTTTTTCAATGTCATAACCTGAACAGAACAGAGTTCACTGAGACACTCAGTGATCTTATCCAAAGGTAACCTGGCTAGGACAAGTGCTGTCCCTGAAACAGAGGAAGATGCAAGTAGGATCAATACAGGCTGAATCAAGGCACTCTCATTATTGGTCTACAACATGAACAGAAAAAGTTGACAGATTCTGCTGGTTTCATACAAACACAGGAGCTTGGCACTGGGGCACATGCAAAGCCAGTGCCTGTGATGCTGGCTTCTCATATGGACACGTTTGAGCCATTGCTACTCCACTCTTGATCCAGCTCCCTGGGAAACCAGCAGAATATGGCTCAAGTGCATGGGCCTCAGTACCCACACAGGAGACCAGCATAAAGCTTCTAGCTTAAGCCGGGCACAGTTTTGGCTGTTGTAGCTATTTGGAGAGTAAACCAGTGGATGAAAGATCTCTGCCCTTTTCTCTGTAACTATGCATTTCAAATACATAAAATAAATCTTTAAAAAAGAACAGCAGTCATGGGAGACCAGAAAGAGGCTCCAGGCTCCTGGCTTTGGATTAGCTCAGCTTCAATCACTGCGGCCACTTGGGGAGTGAACCAGTAGACAGAGGATCTTTCTGTTTGTCTCTCCTTCCCTCTGTATATCTGCTTTCCAACAAAAATAAATAAATAAATAATCTTAAAACAAAACAAAATATACCACAGCTGTATAATTTGCCAGCAGTGTGCCACAGTAGGTAAAATAAGTATCTGTAACAGCGGCACCTCACTAGCACTAGTTCAAGTCCTGGCCGCTCTAATTCCAATACAGCTGTTTGCTAGAGGCCTGAGAAAAGCAACTAAGATAGTCCCTGTGTCTGGACCAGTGCTAACCACACAGGAGACATCAGAAGAAGCTCCTGGCCCCTGGCTTTGGCCAGGCCCAGGCCAGGCCACTACATCCATCTGGTGAGTGAATCAGCAGATGGAAGATTTCTCTCTATATATACATCTTAAAAATAAGTTTTAAAAGTATGTTTAAAATCTATAAGCAAAGTTTTATAGTATTATTTTTATTTGGCTTAGAAGATTAGACTCACTTTCATATTGACACAACTGATGGTAATTTAAAATTCTTTCTCTTCATCAGCTTATTGGTCTTTTTGTTTTTTAAGATTTATTTACTTTTATTGAAAAGTCAGATATACAGAGGAGGAAAGAGAAGATGATCTGTCCACTGATTCACGCCCCAACTGGCTGCAACATCTGGAGCTGAGACTATCCAAAGCCAGAAGCCAGGAGCTTCTTCCAGGTCTCCCATGTGGGTGCAGGGTCCCAAGGCTTTGGGCCATCGTTGACTGCTCTTCTCAGGCCACAAGAAGCTGGATGGGAAATAGGCTCACCAGGATTAGAACCAGTCTAGTGGGTAAATTCTCACCTTATATGCGCCAGGATTGCATATGGACATTGGTTCACGTCCCAGTTGTTCCACTTCCCATCCTGCTCCCTGCTGTGGCCTGGAAAAGCAGCAGAGAATGGCCCAAAGCCTTGGGATCCTGCACCTAAGTGGAAGATCTATTGGTTGGAAGACTGCGCTCTCTGTCTCTCCTCTCTGTAAATCTGATTTGCCTTTCCAGTAAAAAAAAAAAAAAAAACAAAAACTAAACAAACAACAACAAAAAACCCCTTAATTTGGAATGTGAACTAGAGGGATAAACAGGCTCAAATGCCAATGGGAAGGCTGAATCCTTCTCACTTACCTCACTTGCTACAATCCCCAATTGCTGAAAATTTTCCCCTAAAGCCAAAGCGTCACAAATTAGCGCAGGCCTCTTTTAAGTCAAAAATCTCTTAACTATGATTGTCTTTTTTTTTTTAAACTTTCCTTTAAAAAGGTCTATTGACTTTTACTATAAAGGCAGATTTACAGAGAAAAGGACACACAAATAGCAAGATCTCCCACCCGCTGCCTTTCTCCCCAAATGTCCACAACAACTGGAATTGAGCAGATCCGATTCCAGGATCCACCTCTGGCTCAGATCCCTAAGAGACAGTGGGAATGACTCAGCTACTTCGATTGCAATCACCCGTGTAGGAGACTTCAGTACTGGCCTCCAGATCTCATCTTCTGCCTTGGCCTAGCTTTAGCTTTCGAGGGCACAGGAAGTGTCTTGCTGCTTCTCAAACAGAGAACTAAAGACAAATGTCTATCATACTTAAAGTGTGTTTCGAAGTCTTTTCCGTAACATTAATATCCCTACCTTTTCTGTTCATCTGGGCCTCCTCACCACAGCTGTTTGTCTCTTGTTAAGCCATCACTTGGCCCAAGCCAATCAGTAATGCCAAGGACCAGGATATGGTTTTACTTATGGCCCTGCTCCACTCACATTACCTTTCAATTTCCATTTATTTCTTACATATGGCAATGTTTCATTTGGTTCATTTAATTCAAATATGCCATCTCCATTTACAATCTTGCTCTGAGCAGTACATAATGCAGGCTGTATGAATTAATTACCCAGCCTCAAAACAGTCTAAGAGTGCATGGACATACAGTCAACACACTGCTTGCTGAGTGGAAAAGTCATTTCCTCCACCACTATGGACAACATAGCTGAGAAGCCGGAATACGAGTGCAGTTAGGACGACACGAGGCAGCGGCCTTGAGGAGGCAGTGGCTAACAGAGCAAGCAAGTACCTTTGAGCAAGCCCACAGCGGCTTCTGGGGACAGCGTGAAGGAGTCCAGGGAACGGGCAATCCCCAGGAGTCCACTGAAATGCTGAGCCATATGATCCCGGCAGACGGAGCAAATGTTATGAATCGCTTTCGCTGCAGCAGAAGCCAAGGGCTTTTCACACAAACCTTTCATCAGATAGCCCAAAACAGGGTCTAGGAGGAAAAAGAGGTAGAGATTACTCGTCCGAGACGCATGAGAATTTCCCAGGATGTTACCGCACAAGTTTACACACTTTTGGCAAAACAATTCTTGTCAAAAATGAAATGTACGCAGAAACCCAATACAAAATGTCAAAGTAGAACTGATCTGACACCATGCAAGGCGGCCCAGAACATCACCTAATGTATCTTCCATTCCATCCCTCACAGCAATCTAGTGGTCCTTGCAGCCTACCCCGGACACTGACAGAACAGTTTAAAAACCTCTGACTTAATGCATGTACGTATCCATTCAATTAACATGTGGTAAATAAGAGTGTAAGGCTCAAGAGTTACAATTCCATTCAGAGATGAATCAGTTGGTAAACGAGCTTGCATCAATTAAGACTGATCGCTTCCTAAAACTGACCTTTAGTTACAAAGGTCTTTAAATCAAGGAGATGGGAACCTAGGTGAAGCCTCTGTCTGCACAGCTGGCATCCCCATGTGGGCTCAGGTTCATGTCTTGGCTGCTCCCTGCTAATGGCAGGAGGAAAGCAGAGGAAGATGACCTTAGGGCCTGGGTCCCTGCAACACACATGACACATCCAGATGAAGAGCCTGGCTCTTTAGCCAGGCTTAGCCATGCCATTGAGGCCCCTTGTGGAGCAAAACAAATGATGAATGCTCTTTCTCCCTGTAACTCTCAAATCAATAAATCTTACCAAAATGATATATTTTTCCCCCTTTACTTAAGGAAAAAACACTATGAAAGCAATATAGTTAAAGATTTTTCGCAGGCCTGGCACTGTAGCCTAGTGGCTAAAGTCCTCGCCTTGCGTGTCAGGAACCCATACTGGCACTAGTTCATGTCCCGGCAGCCCAGCTCTCTATCCAGCTCCCTGCTGTGGCCTGGGAAGGCAGTCGAGGACGGCCCAAAGCCATGGGACTCTGAACCCATGTGGGAGACCCGGAAGAAGCTCTTCTCTCCTGGTTTCAGATAGGCTCAGATTTGGCAGTTGAGGCTAGTTAGGGAGTAAACCAGCAGACAGTAGCTCTCTCTCCCTCTGCATCTCTCTGTAAATCTGACTTTCCAATAAAAATAAATAAATCATATTTTTAAAAATGTGCAAGTATTTAAAAAAGACATCACGGCAAACTATGAAAGAAGCTGAATAAATTTTAAAAAGTGTTTTGTTAGGCTAATGCCAGTATATCCATTTCCAGACTGATGGCAAAACAACAATATACAACTCAGTATAAGTTTAACCTAAGAAAAACTCTCAGTTTTGGCCTGGTCTGGCCTATTTTTCAAGGAATAAAACAGCAGACATAGTATCAATCACTAACTTCCTCTCTCTGTTTTTCAAATGGGAAAAAAGGACCAAATCCTAAAAAACCGATAGTTAGAATAAATGATTTCTAATTTTACCTTGTTTTCAAAAAGATCTTCAGTTATTTGCAAAATCAATAAGGGCAGCCAGATCTTTACAATGCGACTTGCCTTTTCCTGCTTTGAGAAACAGGCAGGCAGACATCCACTAAATAACCTACCAGCTGGGGATGGGTTCGAGCCAAGCCCACGAGCTGGGAACTCAAGGCAGTGCTCCCACGTGTCACGGATTCATTTATTCAAGCCACCTTCAGTGCCTCACACAGCCTGCGTGAGCAGAAAGCTGAGTACTGAAGTCCTGTACTCCACTGTAGAAAGCAGGCATCGTTATCAAGTTGTGTGTATTCAGCATCTAATGGTAATTCTTAGTTGTTAAATGTAATTATTCATTTAGCACTGCTTACAATGTTATTTCTTTTGCTTTGGCTTCTGAGCTGCTTCTGCATTAGAGCTAATGATGGAAGAGTGTGATTAAGTTCAATCAATGAGTCTGTAACAGAGGAAACGGTGGGGCCCTCACTGGTGGTTCAACAGGTTAATCCCTACCCTGTGGCACCAGCGTCCCACATGGGAACCAGCTGGTGCCCCGGCTGCTTCATTTCCAAAGCAATTCTCTGCTGTGGCCTGGGAAAGCTGCGGAGGATGGCCTAGTCTTTGAGGCCCTGCACCCATGTTGGAGACCCAGAGGAGGCTCCTGGCCTTGGATCAGCTCAGCTCCAGCAGTAGCGGCCATCTGCAGTATGAACCAGTAGACAGGAATATCTTTTGTCTTCTATTTACTTTCCAAAAAAATCTGCCTTTCAAATAAAAATAAATAACACTTAAAAAAAAAAAAGACTAACCATGACAGAGGTTTACGTTTAAACAGAGTAACAGGAGAAAACTGTTTCCTTATCTGAAAATTTAATATTTCAAAGATCCATCTCCCAGAGCATAATATTCTATCAACTAAGGAACATACCACATAGTATATCCTATCAGTGTCCACATTCTATGTATCCATAAAAGAGAAAGTAGAATGATTAGACCAAAAATGAGTGAGAAAAAGCAGCAGCAGAAGGGAGAGTTAACACATACCAAGGAACTGAGGGTTTCGATCAACTACTTCACTCATTTCTCCCACCAACTCAATGCTGGTATATCGCACAGCCGTATGGACTGACTCTGGCAGACGGACAACTCCTTCCAGAACCTCCACAAGTGTTGGATTGTTCTCTCTGAAAATAAAAGGCAAGTACTCACAGTTACTCATTTGCAAAGCTAAGTTCTGGCCACATAACAGGCTGCAGTAGTACATAGCATGGCTAATGGCTCCTTTATAAATAAATTACCATCAGCTATAAATACTTAACACTGGGTATGAAAGTGTTCCAAATTCTCATAAAGGGGAAAATGACAGAAATGAAAATATTGTTTTCAGGAGTCGCATACTGCTCTTTGATCTCCCGAATGCCAGTCAAGTGTCTAAAGACACTTGGATTTCAAATACATGATCTTCAAATTGGAGAAGCAAACATTTACTACGGATGATTTTCACATTTTAAAGAATCCTTTTATTCTTTCATTCCTGTATCTGCAGCACGTAGAACAGTGCCTGGCACATAGTGGGCACTCAATAAATACTGCTGAACAGTTAAATGAGTAACTTCCATTGACCACTTTCTATTCTTTCTTATTCTTCAAAAGACATCTTGCAGCCAAACACTGAAACCTTACGAACAGGAGTATGAGTGGGCTAGCTTATTAACTGAAAAAATAAGAAAATAAGCTCCCAAGTTAGTCAAAGGTCCCTAATTTGAACATGAGAGGAAACGGAAATTAACCAAATACTTTCTACAGCTCCATGACTTAGATTTTTGCTTTTACTTTCTCTCATGCCTCAAATGTATTGGTGAAGTTCTTTTGAGCAGGGTGGAGAATGCCTCAAAGTGGCAGAAACTACTCCAGAAATGAAAGGTGATTAAAATGCAAATAATGCCCTACATTAGACAAAAGCATACCATGCTGTCAAATAAGGTGTATTAAAGCGCCTTTAATGCACTCCAAGTGGAATCACATGAGTTGGCTTACATGCAAATAAAGAAACACATAAAATCTGCTTTCATTTACGCTTGTTTTTCAGGAACTCGAAGTCAGTTACTAAGACACCTGCCCATCTCTGCCCAAACACATGCATGTGGGAGTAAGGATATTAATGATTGTAGGACTCGGTGCCATGGCCTAGTGGCTAAAGTCCTCGCCTTGAACACACCGAGGTCCCATATGGGCACTGGTTCTAATCCCAGAGCAGCTCCCTGCTTCCCATCCAGCTCCCTGCCTGTGGCCCGGAAAAGCAGTCGAGGACGGCCCAAAGCCTTGGGAGCCTGCACCCGCATGGGAGACCTGGAAGAGGCTCCTGGCTTCAGATTGGCTCAGCTCCAGCCATTGCGGCCGTTTGGGGAGTGAACCATCAGATGGAGGATCTTCCTCTCTATCTCTTCTCCTCTCTGTATATCTGCCTTTCCAATAGAAATAAATAAATCTTAAAAAAAAAAAAAGAATATTAATGATTTTAATCATCTTCAGGTAGGATTTGAAACACACTAAAATGACTATTACACTAATGACATGTAATTAAGGATCAGACTTCAAGACCAAACAAACAAACAGAAAACCATTTTGTCTCCTTGAATATTTATTGATTTAGAAACAACAGAAGGTTTCATGGAATAGGCCCTACCAGGCAGCTACAAAAAATGCATTATACTTTTGCTAATTCTCTGCCAACCACATCTCAATCACAGCACTAACAGCCCCGTGCAGGTATCTGACCAACACACAGTCCTGCGAGGCCAACACACGGACTCCCGGCACAAAGTAAACTGCTTTAAGGATTTGTGGCATCAATATAATTTCTTTAAATATATTTATTTCAAAGAGTCACACAGAGACAGGGAAAGAGACACAGAGGGAGAGGAACAGATGTTACAGATGGCAGTTTTACATGCTATGCCATAGCAGTGCCCACAAATTCTAAAACTAATGAGAAATCAAATTTGAATCATTAAAATTTTCTCAAGGGCAATAAATATCACTGCCATTTAGATTTTCTACTATGTTACGTAAAATGCTACATGTCTTGCAACTCACATGATTTTTTCTGGAAAAAAAGAGAGAGAGAGAATGATATAAATTCAATATAGTAGAAAATTCACCCAAGGCCACTAAAGCAGCATATGCCTTTCCACTTGCTTTTAAGCAAGTACCGACAATTTATTGGTCTGCCAAATTTTTTATTACAACTTTCAGAGGGACTTCAATTGGAAAAATAAATCAGCACACTATTACAAGCACTGACAGTAAAAGTAATTTCACTCTAGAAAATGTGGTTTAAAACAATACCGACTACCGTGGATTAGACCCTACTATTCAGAACACAGGACAACACGACAGATCTAAGAAGTTCTAATTTCCAAGCATATACAATATCAGAGGAGAAACAGTGCAATGCTCCTTTCTCTTGATATGTAGAGTTCCCAGCAAAAGACTTTAGACACTCACGGATCAACACTCTTTGCTATAGCAGCCATGATAAAGAGAACCGCTTCTGTCACCTCCCAGGGTGGGTTGCCTTCTTTCAGAGTAGAATATAACTAGAGAAGAAGAGGTGGATTATGGATCCATTAAAAGGAAAACAATTCCAAAACAAACAAAACAAAAAAATCCTATTAGTTAAAAACAAATCTGATTCCTTGCTTCTAAATCTACGTATTTCTCAGAGCTAGGAAAAACATTATTTTTCATTCCTAACTAGAACTAGTATTACTTACATCTTAAAATGAATCCATTTAGATCCCCAAGATTTTAACAAGAGTCATTGTCTGGTCCTAACAACTGCTAACACTTTAAATGGAGACAGAATGCAAACCTGCACGGATAGGGTTTACGCTTCGAAGCCCTTGTCTGCATCAACACAGTCCAACTGGACAGAAGCAGCTGCTAGAAACCCCTGTCACGGCAGCACGGCCGAGTGGAACGGCCTAGACCAGGATTCCCCAGGCCACATCCTTCTAGGAGATACGACTCCGTATTCGTTTACATCAGAATGCTGGGGTCAAACAACACATACTGCTCAGGGATGACAAAACTAAACAATTTTCTTGCTGTTAACTTTTCAGAGCCTTTAATGCACTATTTAAATAATTTCCTAATATTAATATAGGTACCTTTAAAATTTCCCATTTATTTTGCTGAAGAACATCTCCTGAGACTAATGTTGCACAGAACACATTTTGGGGAATGTTGGTGACTTCTAAATTTGAAAATGTGGAGATTCAGGGATTTGCTCAAGGCCACACAACCAGTCAGGGAAGAGTCAAAATCTGGACATAGGTTATCTGCCTATGGGACTAATGGCATTAACTGTGTTTTCAAAGACTCTCAAATCTTCATAGATGAGCCAATAAACATGTTTTGTCTAATACATCAGGAGAAAAAAAAACCTTGGATGTTTACTAAAACTTCCTAGATCATATTATACCCCGATATATGCAAAATGGTTGATTTTAAAACAAACAGGAAAATAAAATTAGATTAAGTCAGTATTGCCACAACAAAGCATCCAAACAACTATTTCAGAACTCAGTAGAGAATGACCCAGTAACACAAATATCTGTGAAGTTATCTTAACGTGTCAACTGAGAATGGTGATGAATGCAACTTTATGACATAAGACGCTACTAATTATCAGAAAGCCACAGTGCCACATTTCCCTAGTCTGCTATGAAACTGCACAATACTCTAACCATCCGGACAAAGGAAATCTCAGGTGACTAAGAGTTGCTATGTAATTAGTAAGGCAAGAAAATGTGCCTATTTTGCCCAATTAGTTAAAAAATTCACTCTAAGTATCTTGGAAGCTTTCACGGTTTTCTGTGCTCTTCCATTCCTGCTGTCCAAGCAGACTGGCTCTTGTTGGCTCTTTATAAAGCACAGACCATGTCTGAAGCATCTAGACTAACTGGTTTACGAGGTACTAAATGCACATAGCTACTATATGCCAGGCAGTGTGCTAGGCACCTGCATATCTATTATTTCATTTAGCAAAGTCTTTGAGGAAATAAGATGGAACAGTTACAGAAGACACAGAAGTGACCACAGGTGATCAAGAAACAACCAAAAATCTCCAAACAGGCTTACCTGAGCAAAACACTCCATAGACCCAATGAGAAAAATCAAATCCTTCACCAGGTCTGATACCCGCATCCGAAACTCCCCAAAGTCATCGGTTTCCTCAGGAACTCCCTCCTGAAATCAGAATATTTCTCTTAAACTCACAGAGAGGTAAACTTCTACAAAGTCAGGAATAAAAAAATAAAAACACAGCTAAGTCTCAAAAGCTTCCTAAATCAAGGAAAAACAAAATTTCCTAAATCACAATTGATCTAGTCTCCCAAGCTGTTAGGTACATAAATCGATACAATCTACCCTCCACTTGACCTTGAGAGACTTCGGGGCTCTGTGTGTATGTGTGTGGGAAAAAGCATGTGACTCCAGAGGAGCAGCAAACCAAGAGTTGTGAATCGATCAATTCTTTGGAACAAGTCTGAAGCTTTATAGTCCCTGGATCTTCAAAACCAACCATCCTAATAACTTCATACAGATAATACAATTTTAGAGTTTAATAAAGTAAGTGTATTAAAATATGAATGTTAGAATTTAAGCAGTAGGTAAATGGTTATTCATTATAACATCACTTCACATGCCATGTATGAGAATTTTTTTCATTAAATGAGTGAGATAATTTCTATTACATGCTGCTTTCATCATTTTTATTTATCTTTATTTAAAGGCCAGTTACAAAGAGAAATGATTGAATGGCCAGGGAGTCAGATTATTCTGGTCTCTCACATGAGTGAGAAAGGCAGAGCGACAGAGAGGTGAACACATTGAGATCTTCCAGCTACTGGTTCACTCTCCAGATGCCTGTAACAGCTGTGGGGCCAAGTTGAAGGCAGAATCTAGGAACTCAATCTTGTGTGGGTCCCTTACATGTTGGGTAGAAACCAAGTTTAGGGCCATCATTCAGTGCCTCCCAAGTCCATCATTTAGAAGCTTGATTTGAAGCACAGAGTAGCTGGCATTGAAGCAGAAACTGAAAGGAGATGCAGGGATCCCCAACATGGCCTCACTCCACTGTGCCACAATGCCTTCCCTAGGAGTGAATTTCTTCATACACAGGCCTAGTATTTCTCATTCTGATGGTACTGATTTCTTCACTGTCAGCTGTACAATGAGGATATATACACATTCTATTAGCTTTATTCTCTAGCGTTTCAGTTCTGAATAGAGAAGGAAACGAAGGACTGAAGAAGTAAACTTACATGGTCTGGCTCCAGCTGGCAGTGTCGAGCCAAGGCATGAAGCAGTCTCTGAATGTAAGCTTTGAAGATGCCATGAATCATCTCATCGTTAGTTTTGTACAAATGTTCCCCTAGTCTGTACCAAAAGTTAAAGGAAATCTCTACTACCTGGTAGACATAAAGACAAAAGATTGTTTATTCCAATGGGAAAGAAATATAATGTAAAAAGTTTTACATTTACTACAGCATGTGGGAAGCAGATGAAGCGATCAATTAGTAAGCCACATTTCCTCTACCAGATGTTCTTCCCCAAGTATGAATGGCTTTAAGCTTCATGTTTTCTTATGAGAAAACTTATACAACACAATGGATTCTGAAGTGGTCCAGCCAGAGCTGGGAGCCAGGAGCCTCTCCCAGGTCTTCTGTGTGGATGCAGGGACATGCACTTGGGCGGTCCTCCACTGCTTCCCCAGACACATAAGCAGCGAGCTGGATCAGAGGTGGAGCATCCAGAACTCCAACTAATGCCTGTGTGAGACAGCAACACTGCAGCTCGTGTTTAACACACTTGCTTTCTGGAGTGGGAGAAAAAGCCTGAGAATTCACTCACAACCTATCTTCCATCCAGCACTGTTTAAAGAAATAGTACTGTACATTGCTATACTTCTCCCAAATCATAAGATTATGTAGAGCAAGCATTATCTTTTATGTGATAATGAAAAATAGTTGAGAATCACAGAACCATTGAGACTAAGCATGATACACTGAGAGCACTTCCGCATTTTCCCATCAAACGCCAATACAGCTATTTAAGAATAAAAAGTTCAACTTGGGAGCACTTAATGATTTTTAAATACTTAGGAATCCTAACTGGGTGTCTTAGAAGATTTTTAAATAAAGGAGACTCTTAAATGTTTCTCTCCTTCTCATCTCTCATTTGAAGTAAGCTGGGGTAGACGTGTAGGGGTATAATTAGGTTTTGGTGTGGATTTGGCTGTAAAGCTATAGAAAAACAACTGGCACTAGAAAGGGGTTTTCTGTCAGGTTTTCTAAAGTATTCCATGAGGAACTTAGGGCAGTGAGTCTACCTAACCAGGTTAAAGAAAAATAAATAAATAAAAAGAGAAACTCAAGTACAATATTTTTAAAGTCCAACAGAACAGCAGATTAAAGATGCCTGCTTTCCAAAAGGGGTGGCTGGGCTTCATCCCCGGCTCAAGTTGCCAACTGCAGTTGCCTGCTAAGCAGGAACGCAAAGGGAGGCAGTAGTGAGGGCTTCAAGTAGCTAGGTCCCCACCACCATGTGGGTCACCTGGATTGGCTGTAGCTCTAGATCTCTCTCTCTCTGCCAGTCAAATACACCCACACTTAAAAACCCTGACTGCAATTTCTCCAACATCAAAGGTGAAGCAAAAGGCAATGAGATGTAGATAAAACACAACACACCACTTGAGCATTACGGCATTGGGACAGTACACACGCTACCTCATACTGAGGATGCCCTGCACAGATAAGAAGCAGTTCCAGAGTTCGCAGGTCCCCAAGACCCTGGCCTGGAGTACAAACAATTTTTTCAAGAAAAGTTTCACACAGTTCAGTGAAAATACGGCAGTAATTCAGAACTCTGTAGAAGAAAGAGGAATGAGAACATCAAGTCAGAATCTGGACATTATATAAACACATTAGCATGCACAGTTCATTAAACAGATGAAAGGCCCCTCGGTCGAAGGGACATCAAGCAATGACCTCCTTTACTCTATTACAGTCTCCATGACAAACACCTACATGACGGCATACTCTCCCAGCATGTGAGTCCAAAGTAATTACTAAAACATCTGGTTAAAAACGTTCATCAAGCCATCCTCAATAAGGTCCTAATCCGCTTTTAAACAGGAAAAACAGCAGTTTTTTGCATAACTGGCAATTCTAAAACCTCTCCTTTGGCATCCAATCCGCCATTCTTAAGTTCAGATGAAAACAGCACAATAGTTTAGGGAGGTACCATTTTTCTATTTACACTGAATCACTAAGAATCACAAATGATAGATGCATAACAAAGTGAATTAGCAGGCCAGTGTTAAACTAACACTTTCGATGGTAGTCTGAGTCCCAACTACTCTACTTTTGATCCAGCTTCTTGTGAATGTACCTGGGATGGCAGTGGAAGACAGCCCAAGTTCTTAGACCCGGACACCCAAGTGGGAGTACAAGGATGGGGTTTTTGGTACCTGGCTTCAGCCTGGTCCAGACCTGGTTGGTACAACCCTTTGAGAGGTAAACCAATGGACAGATCTCTCTCCCATTCTGCCTTTCAGATAAGCAAATCATTTAAAAACCAAGCAAAACAAAACCCAAGAATAACACAGATCTATAGGTGAACCCAGGGTTCCTGCATTAAATACTCACTTGTCTAAATCTTCTCGAGCCACAGCCATGTGATAGGCCGTCTCCAATGTGAGCACTCCCTGGAAAAGTTGCATTGCTAATGGCAGGTTTGTCTCCACATTCTCAATCGCATAGAGAGCTGAGCACACACAGTCGGAAGCAGCTTCGTGCAGGTTAGATGAGGTCTTATCCTGTTGCTATGAGACAGGGAAGCAGAAAGGATGATCATTACAAGATGTAGTCCAAGTAACGGAAAAGGAAAGTCTCTTTCTGAATATGCACTTCAACTGTACGATGGCCTCATAGTCATGGCCTTCTATAAGACAAATATCCATCAATCATCTCAATTATTTTCCCCCATTTGCCAAGGAAATCAACTTTTCTATATTTCAATCACAGCCCTAAGATTTCCAATTTCCATGTTATTTTTTTTTTTATAATTGTCTTTCAAAAAGGAAATCATGACATTATGAAGCTGTGTAAAGTCATGGTGACAATGGCATCCCATATGGGTGTCAATTTGCGAACTTGCTGCTCTGCTGCTGATCCAGCTCCATCGTGGCCTGAGAAAAGCAGGAGACAGTGGCCGACACCCATGTGAGAAGATCTACAGGAATAAAGCCAGGATCAAGTTTCTGGCTTTTGCCTAGCTCCGTCCTGTCCACTGGGGCCATTTGGGGAGTGAATCAGCAGTTGGAAGAGCTGTCACTCTCCATCTCCCTTTAACTCTTTTAAATAAATAAACAAATCTTAAAAACAAACAAACAACAACAAAGAAGAAAACATAACACCATGTGTTTTTCTCCCTATTTGAACCATTGGAAATCTTCGATTTTTCCCTAATATTTAAGTACCATATAAAATCAAACAGAACATGTCTCAACGACCTATACCTAAACAAATAATTGCAAAATTTCAAAATGTCAAGGCTAAACAAAGTTCCTTGAAGATTCTGGGGTGAAGATGAGGCAATTTTGATGGACACTGGGGGTGACACAACGGCTGAAGTAGCTAATCCTCAGCCTTGCAGCACCAACATCCCATAGGGGTGCCAATTTGTGTCCTTGCTGTTCCACTTCCCATCTAGCTCCCTGCTCATGGCCTGGGAGGGCAGGGGAGGATGGCTCAAGGCCTTGGGACCTGCACCCGCGTGGGAGACCAGAAGGCAGGGGAGGACGGCTCAAGGCCTGGGAGGGCAGGGGAGGACGGCTCAAGGCCTTGGGACCTGCACCCGCGTGGGAGACCAGGAAGGAGCTCTGGGCTGCTAATCAGCTCTGCTCTAGCCATTGCGACAATGTGGGGAATTAACCAGCAGATGGAAGATCTTTCTCTCTTCTGTACATCTGTCCCCCCCCCCCCTATTGCCCAAAATAAAAACATGAAATCTCAAGAAAAATAATCAAAAATTATATCCCTGGATGAAACTTCTATTACTTTAAGAAAAACCACAATAAACCTGCAAAAAAACTATCCCTTGGTACCACATACTGCACTAACTGTCTAAGTCAGACAAAAGCAAACACACAAGAGAATACTCAATGCAAAGTGAAAACTGTTCATATATACCAGACTGCTGTGAAATCTAGCATTTTTCCAACAATAGCAACAAATTGAGAAGCATTTAGTTTTCATTGTACCATAAACCCTTTGAGTTTTACATTTTAAATGTTTCCGAGTAAGACAAAACAATTTTCTAAAAAAACTCCCAAGACTTATGAGAGCACTTATCATTTTGCATGCACTGAGAAGACATTTACTATGGTATTTAAAACATGGGCATCTGCACTTCCGGCACACAAGATCTACAGCATGGCTGAAAAGCAGCCAGATGTTTTTTGGCTGATTAGATGCGTTACATGAGAAACACTGCAGGCATGCACAAGGTATCATCACTTTGTAAATTCAGATTTTTACCCTGTTAGCTCACTTTTATAAGTTCTATGACTGTAAAGATTAAATATACTGTTTACATGTATGGCAACTCATTTTCCTATGAACTATACTGAAAAATCCTATAACTGATAATTTAATGAACTGATTGTATCTTCCTTGTCAGAATATTCTGTAGATCTGATTCTTTTAAACCTGAAATGACCTCAACATTTTCATAACATTCATTGTATAAATTTTGTTATACTTTACTATAATGTGCCTTAATTATATCATGTATGAAGACATGTAATTGTAGTTGCTTCTAGACACGTAATATTACACTAACTCATTCCTATAGCTTTTCACACAAATATTTATTTGTCCTGGTCACTTAAAAAAAAAAAGGTGAAAACTGATATAAGAAATGAAATTCCATGTAAAATTTCAAATGAAAGTTATTTCCAAGTCATCACAGTGAGGTACGGCATTATGATGACACATTCCTCTGTTCTGGGAGAGTTTCTCTAGTAAACTCTCTAGAAGATGATACACCTCGGTCCCTTGTAGACAAAAATTTAGAATATAAAGTTTGCTCTAAATCACATCTAAAAATCAATTATTTACAAAGGTGCTGAGGTAATACAAAGCAGTGTCAACTACCCTGAAAAAAATTCTTTCTTTTTAAAAGATTTTATTTATTTTATTGCAAGCTCAGACATACAGAGAGAAGAGAGACAAAGAGGAAGATTTTCCAACTGATAATGTACTACCCAAGTGACCACAAGGGCCGGGGCTGCACCGGTCCAAAGCCAGGAACCTCCCACATGGGTGCAGGGTCCCAATACTTTGGGCCGTCCTTAACTGCTTTCCCAGGCCACAAGCAGGGAGCTAGATGGGAAGTGGGGCTGCTGGGATTAGAACTGCCATCCACATGGAACCCTGGCATGTTCAAAGTGAGGACTTTAGCTGCTGGGCCACCGTGTCAGGCTCAAAAAACTTACCTTTACAAACCTAAGGAAACACTAGGTTAATTCAGCAAAATTTTATTCTAGATTTAATAGACAATGCATTTTTAAATTTAAAATCTAGAAACTTTAAAACCTAATTTTACATCCCTACTTCTCCCAGATCCTCAACCCTTCCCACTCTGATCAACAATGCAAACATCATCAATAATAAAATCTAACTAGTACTTTAATGCGATCACAACTAGAACAACATTCTTTTTTCTTTTACAGAAACTCCAAAGGAAATTCTAAAATGCTTCCCTGTTTTTACAGACTGCCAGTTAATGCTGATGATGCAGCTGGTGGGGTGACTCAGGCTAATCCTCCACCTGCAGCAGCAGCATCCCAACTGGTGCCAGTCCTAGTCCTGGCCTGTCCACTACTCGACCAACTCGAGGCTTATGTACTGGGAAAGCACAGCAGGCCGGCCCAAGTCTTGGGTCCCTGAACCCATGTGAGAGACCAGGAAGAAGCTCCTGGCTTCACACCCGGTCAGCTCTAGCCACTGCAGCAATTCAAGAAGCAAACCAGCAGGTTGAAGATGTCTCTCTCCAAATCTCTCCCTCTCTGCTTCTCTCTAACTCTTCCTTCCAAATAAAAAAAAAAAAAAAGAAAAAGAAATCTTTTAAAAAGTAAAATATAAAATGTGGTATATATACACAATGCAATAGTATTCAGTCATTTAAAAAATGAAATCATGTCTTCTGCAAAATGGATGTACTTGGAGTTCGTACGCTTGGTGAAATAACCAAACAAAACCAAAGCCAAAACATATCAGTGCATGTTTATGAGTCAAGCTGCCATCTTTTGATTATTGTGCATACTGTTCATATACATTCTTGTAGGACAGTGGTCTTTCTGTTAAATTCTTCACTAAGTACAGAATTAAACCTGTGATTATGAAAGAAATTAAAAATGATACTGTACACATTACAAGCAATAAAGAGAGGAAGAAGTGCTATTTACTCTTAGAATTATATCTGTGAAATACATGAATTCTGTTTTCATTTTATTAATTGATTTAATAAATTTTTAGAAAAGAAATGGTTTTTAGGTACTTAGGTTTTGATAGGAAAATCACTTATCAGAAGACTGTTCTTTTACTCTGCACTGATCCTTCAATTTGCTCCTTGGCATCAGAGAGAGGATGCTGCTGGTCCCTCACTAGTCATGACAGACATGTCAAGAAAATGTTCTTATCTCATAGTTAGTGATCAAGTGATGACGGAAGAAATACGTAAGTCATTACTTACCAAAACCTCAAAAAGGAGTGCTAGTAATTTATTGTTAGCCATGAAGTTGCTGTCCAAAACTCCCAAGTTAAACCAACTCCCCAAACAGCGAAAGACTTTCATGAGCATTTTCTCATCTGTTCCTGCTTTTTCTACACAGGTCATCTGAACAAAAGGAAGAAGTTAAAACACATAGTGTTAATTTTTCTAAATAAACCACTCTTACAATCATGTTACATGTACGACAATGAGCATGATGGCAATAACAATAGCTGACAGAGGTGCTCTGTTTGGCATCCTATATCATAGTAGCTGGGATAGAATCTTACCTGCATGTCGCATCTACCTTCTTGCTAATGCATCCTGGAAGAATCAGAAGACCCAAGTACTTAGGTTCCCACCACCCACAATGGAAACCTACATGGAGTTCCTGGCTCCTGGCTTTGGACTGTGTTAGCTCTGGTCATGGTGGCCATTTGGGAGTGAACCAGCGGACGGAAGATCTAGGTCTCTCCTTCAATGTAAAATCTGTCTTTCCCAAACGCGGAAGAAAACACATGAATGATGAACGTACTTGAATCCTACCCTTTGCTCTCTTCATGACCATGCTATCCCACAGTGTCAAAAAATGCATCTCACTAAGGGTCCAGCACAATGGTTTAATTGGTTAATCTTCCTTCAAGTGTCAGGATTAGATTTAGATGCTGGTTTGTGTCCTGGTTGGGCTGCTCCGCTTCCCATCCAGTTCCCTGCTTATGACCTGGGAAAGCGGTGGAGGACAGCCCAAAACCTTGGGACCCCTGGCTCCTGGCTTCAGATCAGCTTAGCTTCAGCCATTGTCACCAGTTGGGGAGTGAACCAGAGATCATAAGTATTTCTCTTTCTCTCTGTAGACCTGCCTTTCTAATAAAAACATAAATAAATCTTAAAAAAAAAAAAGGGAAAAAGCATCTTAGTGACAAATGAGCTAGCAAGGCATAACGACTCTTACTATGTGCCAGGCACTTTTAAGAGCTTTACATATTAACTAATTTAATATTCATGATACGAACAGATATTATTATCTTCAATCAGTATATAGATGAGTAAACTGAGGCAGAGTAATTTGTCTTTTACACAGTGCAGTAAGTAAACAGCACAATCAAGTATAATCCTACTGCAAAATAAAATGGAATATAACCATGAAGGAGACTGTGGAGGAGACTGAGCAAGAAATGTTTTAGGAGGCCTTTGATTCTTGGTAGCAGAGACAAACACCTGATTGTTCCTGTCACTTGTGAACCAGTTTTATCCTCTACTTTGTAGAAAGTAAGCTACATGACAAAATGCAACCTTATCAAGCATCAGAAGTCATTTCTCAGGCAGTACTACAACTACTCCCAGCATCATGTGCAGCCAATTGTGATGGGACAGCAAACCAAGCTCCTGCCTAAAGAGCCCAAGTCGCTGCTGCAGCTGACCCTGCGCTGGCAAGGACACACAGGGCCGGGCTGCAAGGGGACTCAGGGTTACTGCAGCTGACCCCTGCGCTGGCAAGGACACACAGGGCCGGGCTGCAAGTGGGACTTGGGGTTATCGCAGCTGATCCCTTCTCTGGCAAGGACACACAGAGCCAGGCTGTGAGCAGGACTCAGGATTACTTGAAAGCTTACAAAACAAAACTAAGCTCAAATCCATGATCTCGCAGGTATGGGATGGGATGGGATTGGATTCTGAAATGTGAAATGGAGACAACTGCTTGAAATCCAATCAAACCAAAAACCCTAAACTCATTCCACTCTGAATCTCTCCTAGCAGTGGAAGAAGTGAGTCCACCAACATCTGAAACCCTCCAGTGACCTTAACACAAGACAGTGCCTGTAATGGGATGCCCGCTGTCCTCAGACCTACCATGGACATTTGGAGCCACCATACCCAAAACAGTGGGACTCGGGCCATGCCACCATCCCATATGGATGCCAGTTCATGTCCTGGTTGCTCTGTTTCCTATACAGTTCCCTGCTAATGGCCTGGGTCAAGCAGCAAGATGGCCCAAGCGCTTGGGCCCCTACTGCCCACATGGCAGACCTGGATAAAGAAGTGAGGGAGAACTAAGTCATCAGTATCAATCACAGTATGTGACCCATAATACAGATGAAGCCTGCAGTCGCTTTACACATTTTCTAATTGTTTTACCACCATCCTGGAACTTAAGTGGCAGGAGACTGGGACAGACTACAAATTTATTTCCTCTCAACTGAAAATTCATTCTATTAGATCTCTCTGGGAAAAGGAGAACCAAAGCCTTGAACTATTCTTGTTGCAGCCAGCACTAAAGTTCTATAGTAAAAGAGCCTGGAGAGACACGGCTGCCTGCTTCCAACGAACTCACTTAGCAGCCTTCTGCCCAACATGCAGCTTCTCGGGCACCAGGTTCTTGGCTTCCCTGGGCCCAGCTTTGCAGGGCACTGGCCAGCAGTTGCCCACAACATCGTTTCATTTTCGCCAATGGCTTTGTAGCAAAAGTGCCTCTAGCTTCTAAGGAATGAGCAGCATCTCCAGCACCAAGTCCTACAGCACACGGAGGCTTCTCCAGCGTCCCCAGTGTCCAGTGGCCAGCAGCAGTGCCCACAGTCCCACAGCGAGGCAATGTGGGGATTGCCAGGGAGACACAGGCCATCCGAGGGGTGTGCTGGCCCTCCAGCAGCACACATGACCCTCTCCCACCCTCGGACAACAGCAAGTTCTTCTGCACACAGGCCTGCGCTCCACCCCAGGAAGGCGGCTTTCTTCACTGGAAGCTCTGAGAACAGGGTCACGTCTAGACCTCACGCTTATCTTATTTCCGTATTCTTTAGAGTTCTCTTTACTTTTTCCTAGATAATCCTTCATTATTGTAATTGTGTTATAGTTAAAAACTGTTTACATTCAACAATCCTGTTTTTAAGAGTACTGTGGGTTCCTTCTAAATGAATCCAGATTGACCACAAAAGGAACCAAGGATTCCCGATATGGGTAAAGAGGTAATGAGTGTTCGTCATCTTTGCAAGTTGCTCCCAAGCACTTCTTTGCTTCCAGTGAGCGAAGAATGATTTCAGTGGAAATTTTGAATCAACAAAAGTCCATGAGTCCACACTCCAAAAAACAGAAATCCAGAAGGAAAAAAATTAAAAAGAAACAAAGAAAAACATTTGAGAGAGCTTTCTTTAAAATTCTCATTTGAAAAATAGGAAGTCAAATCAGCATCAATATGGAATCCCAGCACATACAAGGCAAGGATTTTAGCCACCAGGCTACTGCTCTGGCCCCTCTCCCTCTGTCTAATGAAATACAAACATAAAGCTGGATGCCCAAAGACGCAGGATGAAGGAGGGTAGATTTGAGTACAATCTCATTTGGCTTAAAGAAAAACTGTAAGAGTATATATCTCAACGATTAGCAGCATGACCTCCAGATGTTTTGAATATATTTGATTCATTCCTATTTTCTAAGTTTCTACAATACCATTATTTGAAACAGGGCCCAATGCGATGGCTCAGTGACTAAATCCTCGTCTTGAACATGCTGGCATTCCATTCCCACCCAGCTCCCTGCTGTGGTCTAGGAGAGCAGTAGAGGATGGTCCAAAGCTTTGGAACTCTGCACTCAATGGAGGAGACCCAAAAGAAGCTCCGGGGTCCTGGCTTTGTGTCAGCTTGGTTCTGGACATACAGCCATTTAGGGAGTCAAGCAGCAGACAGAAAACCTTTTTGTCTTTCCTTCTCTCCATAAATCTGCCTTTCCAGTAAAATTTTTATTAAAATAAAAAGATTTTAAAATACTGTTATCTGAACTAAATGATCTGCTGAAAATAAAGACATACATTTAACTCACAAGAATAATTTTGCAATGAATTTCTTACACTAAACTATTCATAATCTTAATAACATGCCACTTTTTCAAACCAAAAATTATTATAGTATAGTGAAACAGAACCCAGCGTGATAGCCTAGTGGCTAAAGTCCTCACCTCACAGATGCTACCATGAATCCATACAGGCACCAGTTCGTGTCCCGGCTGCCCCACTTCCCACCCAGCTCCCTGCTGTGGCCTGGGAAAGCCGTTGAGTACGGCCCAAAGCCTTGGGACCCCTGCACCTGTCCCGTGTGGGAGACATGGAACAAGCTCCTAGTTTGGATCGGCTCAGCTCCAGCTGTTGTGGCCACTTGTGGAGTAAACTAGAGGATGGAAGATCTTTCTCTTCATCTCTCCTTCTCTGTAAATCTGCCTTTCAAACAAAAATAAGTAAATCTTTAAAAGAATTAACCTGTTATAGATTTACTGAATTTTGAATCTCACCTGCAGTTGTCTTGGCAGGGCCAGACCAAGTGATTTCATGGATTTTACATTGATTGCCTGGGGAACGTCTAAAGCATTAAAAAAAAATACCTAGTCACATTTAATTCTTTCAAAAAGAAAAGTTGCTTTTAGCTACTGTAGAGTTGGGATATTGCTCAAAGGTCAAATAAAGTCTTCCAAACCCCTGAGTATCAAAATTTCAATTTGCCTTAAAGAGAGGACTCTGCACTAGAGACACAGAGTTCCTGATCCAACCCTGGACCGTGTGGCCATTGGAAGACCTCTCAATCTCTCTTCCTTCCTGATTCTGTCTTTCAGATAAATCTAAAAAATGGAAAAAAAAAAAAGACAGCTACACACATGAATGGAGGGTGGTTCCCAAAACCTGTGCATCTCTTCACCAGCGCATGTTGTGATATCCTTTATAATAAACAAGTAAACAGAAATTCTGAGTTCTGCAAATCAATACAAGCTGAGGAGAGGATTATGGGCATCTGGTTTATAGCCTTTCAGAAGTATAATAAGCAAAGCAACTTGAAGTGTGCGACTGGCTTTTAAGACTCAGTACAGCAGCAGAGAGCTAGGGCGGAGCAGGAGGCAGAACTGAGCAGATGGTCGCAACCTTGGGGACTGAGCCTGCTGAATGTTGTGAAGAAAGACAGGGTCAGTCTCAGCTAGACTAGGGCATGTTCAAGGCTGTAGGACTGCTTGGATGCTGGCAGGCAGACCTTCCCAATCCCTTGTTGTTCACAGAATCTTCTATGTGAAGTGCTGTGTGTGAAGGCTGGAGTACGAAAAACGCTCAGGTTGTTCTGATGTACACAATTATGCCATTAGACCACAAAATACCCAGCAGGCTTTCTGCCCTGCGGCAGCAATTTGATAGTTGATGCTTACCAGTAGAGATACTACTGTACTAGAGTAGAAGGCCAAGTCTTCTATAATTTCTGTGCGCCTATTAGCTCCAATTCGTAAGGAACGACTATGCACTTCTTCAGGTAACACGGTAAGGATCTCCAGCAAAAAAGGCAGAGAAGTTACATCACTGCTGTATCTGGAAAAGAAAAGGGTAAGTATGTACATTATCCAGAGCCAGAAAATACACAATCACCAAACATAACCACCACCAGAACAACCCACAGCAACAAAGCAGCATCCCCAATCTTATAAAGAGGAACAGCAAAAATCCAGATCGAGCATTTGCAAAGTATTAGAAAGATGTTCCTATCAGCATTTCAAATTGTGTAATCACTGACACAGGAATTTCATTTCTGACAATTTATCTTTCACCAAAAACTCACGTAAAGAATCAAAGATAAAGGGCTATACTGTAGTATTTTTATAATGAGACAAAATGAATGTCCTCTCTAATTAGAATGAAACTGGGGGCGGAGTACTGGGCACAGTGGTGTCACTGCTTGGAACACCAGTGTCATTCAGTATGGCAGTGCTTGGCTTGAGTTCCTTTTCTCTTCTGCTTCTGACACCTGGCTCTAGCCCCTGATCCAGCTTCCTGCTAATGCAAATCCTGGGAGGGAGTGGTGAGGGGTAATCAGGGCACTTCACCCACGGGGAGACCTGGATTTCGATCCCACCAGATTGCAGCTTCAGGGCCGGCCCGCCCTGGCCATTTGAAGTCCTTGGGGAGTAACCAGCAAGCTAGAATGCTCATATTCTGATTCTCCTGTCATCCTTCCCACCTTCTCACATAAATAAATAAAAATAAAAATAAACTACATAAGGCATTTAAACGCATATTATATTTGGAAGTAAAAAAGGACATCAACTTTGTTTAAGAATAATTTCCCAAACAAATGTAAATATCAAAGTATCATGGCAGGACTCAGGTAGAAATATTTCATTCAAAGCAGCATACTCCAAACAGAATACGGTCCCTCTGACAGACCCCACAAACTCATAAAGACATAAATTAAAGACAATAAAGACATAAATTCACAACAACTCTTAATATAACCCTAAATAATAATATAGCTCCTTTTTTTTTTTAAACAAAACTGGTATATGCAGGTTACTGGGAGTGAGACACAAAGCAAAGCAGTAAAACGCTGCTCCTCACTTAATTCAAGGAGTGGCTAAGTGCGCCAACTATAAAGGTTTTTATATGCCACAGGACACACTTCTGTTAAAATTAACTTTTACAAGACTTTCTTTTATTCTAACAAACATTATAAATATACACTATGTTGACTGTTTTAGGAAACAGTCAAATGTTTAATTATTGCCAACTCTGTGTAGCTTAAAGGTTAATTCTAAATGCCAACACATAGTCAATAAAATTACTTACTTTTCCACCAATGTTTGTACACATCCCTTCCAGGAAGGCATCTGTAGGGCAAGGTCGGCTATTGCTAAAGCCAGCTGAACAGGAAGAAAGATTAAATAAATGACTAGAACAGATAAATACAAATTAGGTTATCAGTGTTAACATGCAATAAGAAATCAACGATTTTCCAAATAATAGGACTTAGCAATCCTCACTCTCTCATACCCAACTACATGTATCCCATGAAAATTCTTCCAGGCTAGTTACAAATCACTAGAATTTAAAAAGCACCTTTAGGGCCCAGCACAGTAGCCTAGTGGCTAAAGTCCTCGCCTTGCATGCGCTGTAGGAAACCCACTTGGGCTGCAATTGATATGTGATATTCTGGCTGTTCTACTTCCCTCCAGCTCCCTGCCTGTGGCCTGGGAAAGCAGGAGAGGACGGCCCAAGTCCCTGGTGTCCTACACCAACATGGAAGACCTGGAAGAAGCTCCTAGCTTCAGGTCAGTTTGGCTCCTGCCACTGCGGCCAGCGAGCAGATCTTTCTATCTCTTCTCTCTATAAATCTGACCTTCCAATAAAAAATAAAATGACCTTAAAAAAAAAAGTATCTTTAAAAACTGAGAACAAAACAACAACAAAAATCAAAGAATATAAATATTCCTTAGGAAAATTAATCTTTAGTTTTTTGTCAATATTACAGAACCTAATGGACAAATAAATTCTACTTTATTAAATGATGAGAACCACTGATGGTCAAAATGTCATATGAAAAAGGCCTTATGCAAAAGCCTGGAGAACACATGTGAATGTGTAGGCAGAGAAATCTGCAGCGTTCCCAAAAAACATAGTTTTCTGCCCAAAGAGTTTGGCCAGATGCTCTAGTTCACCACTTCATTCATGAACTTCATCAGTTAACCAGCTCAGAAAATATTCTTTGGAAAGGAAACTACACAGATCTCTCTACAGTTTTAACAGCAGAGGGCACATATATGCCAGGAAACATACACTTAACCTTTCCCACGGCTGGTATCTGTTAGTCTGAAACCAAATGTACTTGATAATTAATACAAAGAATTAACACTTATACTGTCTATTCACTTAAATGAATATAATAATGTGTCTTGAAATACAATTAACTTTACTTCAAATGACCCAGCATTGTGAATCAAAATAAGTTTGGTCAATCCCACTGGCTTACACACTTCCCCAGGGAGAAGCACAGGACTTACCTGCGTTACAATGACAGGTGACAGGTCTTTCAAGTTCTGGATATGGGTTAGTAATGAATCCCTTAAAGAGGCGTGAGAGTCTGTGGGCAGCTCATAAAACGAGGTCTGAATCTTCATTTTCATGGTCTGTGCCGCAAAGTAGCATGATTCCACATCCTGGCGGATCTGCAACAACTGGTCTGAAATCTCCCATGCATGAACCTAAAGTCAACAAAGATGTGTAAAGAGGATTAACTTCAACTGATTTTATTTTAAAGATTTATTTATTTTTACTACAAAATCAAATATACAGAGAGGAGGAGAGACAGAGAGGAAGATCTTCCGTCGGATGATTCACTCCCCAAGTCACCACAACGGCTGGTGCAGTGCCAATACGAAGCCAAGAGCCAGGAACCTCTTCCGGGTCTCCCACGTGGGTGCAAGGTCCCAAAGCTTTGGGCCGTCCTCAACTGCTTTCCCGGGTCATAAGCAGGGAGCTGGATGGGAAGTGGAGCTGCTGGGATTAGAACCGGTGCCCATATGGGATCCTGGCACGTTCAAGGTGAGGCCTTTAGCCGCTAGGCCATGCTGCCGGGCCCGACTCCAACTGATTTCAATTCCATATAAGCTCAACACATACATAAGCACAAACCAAAGTATAACAAAAGAAAAATCTGGCAAACTTTGAAGCACTAATTAAGCCAACACTTAAAACTACGGAGGTGCAGGCCCTGCTCAACAAAAACAGTGCCTAAAATCCGACTCTATCTAACCAGTAACTGAAGCATATCTGCAGTTGAATATGCTGTCACAGTATCTTTATTACATTAAAACTATTGTTTCAAATAGCAAAATGAATCTAGTAAAGCTTTGGAATCTTCACAATTGACCTCAAAAACTAAGAAATTAGCAAACTGAAATAGTCATAAATATTTATAACAAATCTGGACATTATCTATTTATCTCTAAAAGTTATCTGCTAAGAAACCCAAAATATAAATGAATCAGGATAAAAGAACAACACCAGAAGGGTTTCCACGCCGGGAAAGACAGAGGTTGCAGGCTATCAAATGGCTTTACACACACAGTGGAACACAGAAAGAGCCGACAGGTATAAACTGGAAACAGAAGCATCCACTTGAGAACTGCAGCTGAAAATAGAAGTTCCTTCTTTAAGGAAAATAAAAGGTATTTGAAAGGCAGTTGGAGAAAAAGAGAGACAAAGAGACTATTTTCCTTCTGCTGTTTCACTTCCCAAATGGCCCCAGCAGCCAGGGCTGGGCCACATTGAAGCCAGCAGCCCAAGTGCATCTGGGTCTCCCACAAGGTGGAAGGGCCCAAGTACTCAAACGGCTGACTGCTGCTTCCCAAGCAACATTAGCAGGCAGCTAGACTGGAAGTGGAGCAGCCAGACCTCAGACCAGTGTCACATGGGATGCGTCACAAGTGGCAGTTAACCTTTTACACCACCCTGTTGGCCCCTTGAAATACTTTCACTTATTCAATCAAAAAGTAACAAAACAAAAGCCTACATAACAATTGGAGATGGGACAGTTTAGTCTTTGGGACACCTTGAAATGGATGAACAGGAAAGGGCTCCAAACTGAGGAGCAACTGCTGCAAACACAATCATATGCAGACAGGATTAGCATCATGGAGATGCAGGAAGCAGAGGGACGCAAAGTTAGGGAAGCTCAGAAGCCAAACCACTAAAGGAAGACATGCTACACCAGGACAATAGAAAACCACACTCCACACTGCTGGACACACCCTTAATCAAAGCCTTCTCCAGTTATGAAAAATGAATTTCACAAAAAATATCTGACTTTGGCCAAGAATTTTCTATAACAGGAAGGGTGGTGGAGAATGAGATAATAAGTAAGAAAGTAGTCCTGAAAACTAATATTTAAAAATCAGCTTAAAGGTACTATAAAAAAAATACGATATTAAAAATAGAATTAGGGCCCCACGCAGTGGCCTAGTGGCTAAAGTCCTTGCCTTGCATGCGCCAGGATCCCATATGGGTGTCAGTTCTGATCCCGGCAGTCCCACTTCCCTTCCAGAGTCCTGTTTGTGGCCTGGGAAAGAAGTTGAGGACAGCTCAAAGCCTTGGGACCCTGCACCCATGTGGGAGACCAGGAGGAAGAGGCCCCTGCCTCCTGGCTTCAGATCAGCTCAGCTCTAGCCATTGTGCCCGCTTGGGGAGTGAATCATCGGATAGAAGATCTTCCTCTCTGTCTCTCATCCTCTCTGTATGTCTGGCTTCACAATAAAAATAAATAAATCTTTTAAAAAATGAATTAAAAAAGAAAAATAATCACAATTTAGGTAAAGGAACTCAAGACACAGATCACTTCAGATACTGAAGCAGGAAGAATTTCATAAGGGTGTAGTAAGACAAACAGGTAAAAAGGAAAAAAAATGTAAGATTTATTTTTATTCGAAAGGCACACTTTGTGGAGAGGAGATACACAAAGGGCTTCCATCAAATGGTTCACTTCCCAAATGGCTGCAAAAATCCGAGCTGGGAGCTAGGAGCCCATGTGGTGCAGAGTCCCAAGGCCTTGGGCCGTCTCCCAGCGCTCCCCCAAACCATAAGCAGAGCTGCAGCTGAAAAGGAGCAGCCAGGATACAGCTGGCGCCCATGTGGGTTGCCAGTGTGCCAAGGTGTGGAGTGGAACCTGTGCCACCACGCTGGTCCAAAAAGTTGATTTTTTTTGTTTGGTTTTTTTTTTTTTTTTTTGGAAGATTCATTTGGAAGGCAGAGAGAAGGGGTGGGGAAGAGTGAGAAATCTTCGATCCACTAGTTCAACTATCAATATAATACCCAGCCCAGTAGCAACTTGCCACCCTGTTGTTCACACTGTGTTCTTTCAAATCAATTCTGGGGGCGAGCACTATGGCGTAACAAGAGAGTACTCCACCTACAACACTAGCACACCTAGACAAACCAACTCAAGTCCCAGCTAGTCCACTTCCAATCCGGCCTTCTGCTTATGACCTGGGAAAGCGGTGAATGCCCCAAGTCCTTGGACCCCTGCACCCACATGGGGACATGAAGAGGCTCCTGGCTCCCAGCTCTGGATCACCTCAGCTTTGGACACTGCAGCCATTTGGGGGATGAACCAGCAGATCTTGCTGTCTCTCCTTTACCTGGTAAAAATTAGGCTTTCAGATAAAAATGAATCTTCAAAAAGAAACAAAAAATCAATTTTAAACTGACTGAAATCAGTGCTCCTTGAAGGAACAGTAGAATCAATTTCTGAAGTAAACATCTAAGATAAGCTTATGACACACCCTGTCATCCTAGACAGCACATAAGTTATGCAAGACTAGCTATTTCAAAATGCCAAGATAACTGAATGAGGTTTACACTTGCCAAAGATTATAACTATCACATAAAAATCTATAAGTAACGAAAAATTAGCCACTATAGCAGACATGCTAACCATTAACAGACATAAACTAAGTATTTTACAAAGGAAGAATCAAGTACTTATCCTGATTTTTATAAATAAACCATACAACTCCAGGCAACCTAATAAAATGAGAAGTCTCTTTCTACCAGTACTAGAATAAATAAACAGAAATGACAGATTTAAAGTATCACCATTTTGCAACTTACAATTAATGCACTGAAGTAAGCATTAAGCAACAAGAGCTGAATACATCAAAAAGAGGGGTTGGTGGGGAGGCAGAAAAGATTGAGGTCATAAAAGATTACTGCTAAGTCAGGCCCGGCACGATGGCGCAGTGGTTAAGGTCCTCACCTTGAACGCACCCCAGGATCCCATATGGGCACCAGTTCTAATCTCGGCAGCCCCACTTCCCATCCAGCTACCTGCCTGTGGCCTGGGAAAGCAGTCGAGGATGGCCCAAAGCTTTGGGACCCTGTACCCACGTGGGAGACCCAGAAGAGGCTCCTGCCTCCTGGCTTTGGATTTGCTCAGCTCTGGCTGTTGCGGCCGCCTGGGGAGTGAATCATCAGACAGATCTTCCTCTCTGTCTCTCCTCTCTGTATATCTGCCTTTCCAATGCTACTTTTACACGCCTGCAATGGAGAATGGAATCTATTTCTCCTCTCCTGGAATCTGGTTTGGCCCCACTAACTTGCTTCACTGACGACATTCCAGGACTTTAAAGGTGAGGTCAGAGGCAGCTTTGTAGCACCTGCTTTGGGTCCTTGTCAGTAGTCGGAGGAGAGCAGGTGGCTTTCACCCAATGCATGCCTCAAAGCCTAATCACCCACAAACCCTGACTGCAAAGTTGAGAGAGAAAATCAAGAAGCTGCTGCTGGTCCCCCACGTGAATGTGGCACCTGGGCCATCAGCTGCAATCTGAAGCACATGAGAATGGAGCTGGATCAGCAATGGAACAGCAGAATCCGACCCGCACCCATATGGAAACCTGGGATTCCGGGCAAGCCTCCAACAGCCCACTGATGCTGCTTGTTGAAGGGCGCCATGCAGGCATGCAAAGATCCACAGGTACTGCAATAAGGCAGCTCAGAGCGCCCAGTCCAGCTTGGCATGTCCCCGGAGAGGCACTCGAAACAGCCCAAGCCTTTCCAACAGTAACTGGGCACTGAAATCGGCAGGTTTGAGATGAATTATTTGTGCTCCATTTTACCAGGGTTTGGGAATTAACTATGCGTCCTAACAGCAATTCCCTTTGAAGGGACAGCAATAGACTGACTGCTGGCTTCTCAACTTGCTGGCAACTGGAACTAAAATTCTATCTTTAAAATACTCAAAGAAAACTGCCAGTGGTTATTTTATTCCGAGAAAAGACCTTTCCAAATCGCAAAATAAAAACCTTTCAAGATGCTCCACTACCAAAAAACAGAGAAGGAGGGAACTGATCCACAATGGATGCACAATAAAGAAAATACTACCGAGGGCATTCTTTAGGGAGAGGGAAGACAATCTTGGAAGGAAGCACAGAAATCAGGAACAAAGAGCGAAGGAAAAGCCAAAGAACTGGGTAAAATGAGCACTGCTTACATAACCAAAAAACACAACAAACAAACAAAAAAAACCCTTATGGAATTCTAAAAACATGGAGAATAAAAACAACAGCTTTATATCCACCTAAGACATGGAAAGAACACTGCTTTCTCAGTTAACAATGCATTATAAGACACACTACAAATTGCTTAAACATCTCAGAAAGTTGAGGTACTAAGGCAACTAAACAGACTAAAACAAAAAGGACAGAGCCCT